ATGATCTTGATTTCCTGAACCCATGTTGTAAATGATCATATGTTATTGTTTTCTAGATGGGCCATGATGTTGCTTGTGATTATGTGTTCCATTAACTTGTAACATATGCAAGTCAATGAAATTGGCCTATAATTTACTGCTTTGTATTTTTCACCCTTTTTAAAAGCTGGAGCTACATTTGCATGTTTCCAGTCAGTAGGTATCTCACCAGTTTCTAATGACTTTGAAAATAATAGTGTAAGGATAGGTGTGGCTCGTTCTTTTGTCTTTCAAAACCCTGCCATTTATATTGTCTGGTCCACAGGCCTTATATGGGTTTATATTTGACAGTAATTTCATAATTCCTGTACTGCTAATAGATATAGGGGCATGTCAGGGTGGGGGCTTGTACCTTTGTCTGGTATATCTGTGTTTGTTTCATTTGTAAAATCTGACTGAAACTGATGGTTCAATAAATTCGTCTTGATTGGAAACGGAAAAATCTGAAGAAAATATAGTGTAAAATAAATAACCTCACAACTTGTATGATTGTATCTGCATTCAAGGTTATTGTATTGTCTATAAAATTTGTGAAATTTATATCATTTGATAAGTCCTGAATACAGTGATATGATAAATACATTCCATTGATTCTTTTAATTTAGAATTATACTACAGTACAATGTACACAGGTCACTATCAGTTATTAAACTGTTCGTAATGTATTCATTTCGCTGCTTAATATTATGAGGAAAATTTTCTATACCCAATTACATATCGGTACTATGTATAAGTCTTCTTGCTACATATATCCTAAAGGTAACTTCATCAAACTGTGAAACCCGACGTCTTTATAAAAAAATCACGTTCATTTATATTTGTGACAAACACACAACACAAATTAGTGACCTTATAATCTTACACCTATCAAAATCTGTATTGTGATAACCTTTAACGATTAAGTAGCTTAATGCATTTTTTTAATCGTATCTACTTAAATATACTTTTAACATTTCCCTTGTGTCTTCTATACATTTCGAAATAAAAAGTAAATGAATAATTTTAATTTAATATTTCCATCAAAACAGTTCTACTGGAATGTGTCAATGATGATAGTACCGGGCTTACATTTTGTATTCCTTTTAGAACCTTTATAATAGTTTTTAACTTTCTGTTATTTAAATTTTTAACATTCATATTATTTGCCATAACAATATCCCAAATTATAAACTCCTTATTTGAATAGGAAGACTACAAAACACAATACATAGTTCATACATGTACAAGTGTTTTAGTATCTGCATCCGGATCATTTTTCTGTCATGTAGTGACAAATGTCTCTCAAAATTTTGGCATTGGCTTTTCAATTTCTGTCTATCAGAAAAGATAATTTTTCTAATCATCACTTTTGAACCAAATTTCCAATTGAGATTCCTTTAAGTATTTTAGCCACTACCCCCGTCAATAACTGTAATTAATTCATTAATTAATTCATTAATTAATTCATTAATTTCCCTGATGTCTCACAATTATCATCTTTCGTGCTCTCTGTATTCCTTTCAAACACCTGACACAACCTTTCGTAGCCCCTGTATTTTTTTCTACCCATATATTCATCAACATCCCCTGTTATTTCTGTGTAATCCCAGATATCCATTACAAATCGCTGTTGTCCCTGTGAAATCCGTTAGGGTTAATGTACGAGTAGCGCTCCATTCCTTAAAAGTATAATGGAGCTGAGATCCCGAAGGGACCGAGGCCCATTGCATTTAAGGATTTGAACGCTACGAGTATACATGTATTAACCGGCTTAAACTCCACCTTTTTAAATGCTTGTTATTATGGTTTGTTAATATATGATAAAGAATATTTATGATATATACTGCAAATATACATTTAACATATCAGTAATTTATGAATATTTAAAATTTTATATAGAGAGAGAAAGTAAGGGGAAGAAAGTGTACTGAAGTTACCTGACTACTCATCAGGTGAAGGTACTGGGTTCGATTCTCAACAGAACCACATTTATTTTCTTTAATGAAAACAGACTTATTAAAATTCTATAATTTTTTTCCTGGGTAGAGGCACGGGAAGGAGAATATAAATATAACAAATTCCGTTTTCTATGTAATTTGCAACTCTCTATTCCTGAAAAATAATGGAGCGCTCAAACAAAAGAGGGATGTCACAGGTGGATTTTAACATTTATCCAGTAACATTCTCTACTGTTTTTGTGTAATCCCAGATATCTATGAACATTCTATATTGTCCATGCGGTTTCTGTGTAACCCACGATATCCATTTTAATTCTCTGTAGGCTCCCTAACAGTCTCTGTTGTACATTTTTTTTTTATCGCAATCACGCTATATATCAATAAAATCAACTCAAAATAAATTGAAAAATAAAAAAAATAAATAGATAAATAAATAAATGATTTGGAAAATGATCGGGCAATGTTTTGACGACTACTGAATAAAAAGCTGGCTCTCAATAGATCTTCAATTAAAAAACTGTAACTAAATTATATACCGAATCTTACTCAGGAAAAGAAAGAAAACATTATATAGTACAAAAGAAACATTTGTGAACTTGCAATACTGGCAATATTTGCTTAAAATTTAATGTTTCAAAATACTTTTTAACATAGCCTCACAACTTCTATTTCTTTTTTTTTATCATGATATGCATAATGTTAAAGATGAGTTGTTTAGAATGGGACTTCGGAATTTTTGGATCAATCAAGATTTTATTAATCCAATACAGTTTATATCTTTATATAAGGAAAGACTGTTGGATATCTACCTTCAAGATTGTAATGCCTTTTTTGAAAATTCAACAAAGTGCTTCTTGTATAAGAGTTTAATGCTTACTGTAATTGTTGGTGTTGAGGAGTCGGACAGATGGGCATTAGGGGTTCCACCCCCCGTATACTCTCGCTATGCGTGCATAATTATGTTAATTTTGTATATACTGATGGGCCGTACGGCTTAAAGTTGTTTAATAAAGAAAGAATTATCATATTCATCATATTACATCCAACTATTGTTATATAGTTATAATACTCTCAAACTCTTTAAAATTGTTTTCCAATCTGTCATTGTCGCAATTTTTTTTCCTGTTGTTGGTTAACCAGAGACTCGTGGTTCGTGGTATTGGCATCTAGGTCTTTTGTCTGTATTTCTCTCTTCTGTGTCCTGTTATTTCACCCTGTCACTCGTTGTGTATAAATGTAGTCAGACTTCATTGTATTAAATTATTTAAGCTGTTTCAAATTTACTTTTAACTATCCTGATTTACCTGTCTGAAGCATCTTCACCATGAAAAAGAAAATGACTTTTATCGTTTTCAATGAATGATATTCCAAGATTTTAATATTTTTATCAGACCACGGATTTATCAAGTTAAACTTATCTGTAACAGCATATACTTTAAGTGAATCAAACAATTATGAACTTTTAAGGGGGTGGGGGGATTTGACTATCTGTTCCCTGGTCGCCATTAAAGAAAAAAAAAATATGAATGTAGCTTTTACTTCCAATGAAAGAGGAAAATCCTTTTTATTAAAAATCACAACCACTGATTAAGGACTCCCATTATAACGACTCCAATCCGGAAGTTCAACCTCATCTTTTCTCACGCCTTGTCTATCAAGTAGAAATTTTCGAGAGTTCAACCTCGGGTTGGGGCGGAAGTAGATATCCTTATAAAAGTGAATTTCTAATTTTAAAAAAAAGTCCCAAGAACTGTATCTCACTTCCATTCGTAGTGACCGTGTAGAGTTCTATGACTTGGGGCGGAAGTGGGTATCCTTATAATTATGAAGAGAGAGAGAGAGAGAGAGAGAGAGAGAGAGAGAGAGAGAGAGCACTAGAAAACCAACAACGCTGTATATCTTATGTGTCGGATCTATTAATATAGATACATGCATGTAAAAGGTCAAAATTGAATTTTATATAAAGCATAAAAAAAAAAAAAGAAAGAAAGAAAAAAAAAAAAGACCAACGATCGACACAAGCAAAAATTATCAAATTTTCTGAGCGCCCTGTCCCTTCCTCGGTACAAAGGAAAAAGTTAGGAAGTCATAAAAAACAAAGGAAATGGAAATATTTCCCTTCTATATTTTCTTTCCTTTGGTTTCTTTTTATCATTTATAGTTACGCTATTTTGAGAGATTAAGACAGTACATACGATTCAAGCCTCCACCCTTATTCCTAAGAATCGGATTTACACATATTTCATCAATTGCATCTGTGTCAGCTTATAACTGTCTTACAGAACAGTTTTTTTTTTCTTTGTGAAAAAAATATTATGCGTATTTATAATCAAAGTTCATAGCTTTACTTTTAGTCCAAAGTGTCTTAATTAACATTGGAGAGAGAGGGGGAGGGAAAGGGGGAGAAATTAAGGGAGAGGGGGAGAAAGAGAGGGGAAGGGAGGGAGAGAGAGGGGACAGGGAGAGAGAGAGTTTAGGTTCATCGACCCTCTGATAAGATAGAACTCTGAGTTGAATAAGTGTTATTTCTATATGAAATTATGAAGTTTAAACTTAAGTTAAAAAATTTATCGATAACAGGTAACAATAACTTTGCGTAAAAATATCAACTCTTGTCTTTATTTGAGCGGGCGCTAGAAGCGTCTTCAGTTTCTAAATCCGCCACTGCATTTCTTGATTTGAAAATTGCTACAATATGGAGCTGTCTACACAATATGAAAAGACTTTGCCGGGCTTTAATGCAACTGTATACAGCTTAATATTGCAAAGGATTTTTTTTAGTTTATTTATTTATTTTTACACAATTATTTCTGTTGTTCTTTGTACATCTCCTACATGAAACTTTACTGAATTATAGCTTAGTTTGAAAGGGGGGAAAGTACAATATATTTTTTGGTCAGTACTTTGGTTCAGGATAGGTAACTCAAAGTGTACTTCCCGCGGTATTGACGCAGTTGTCTTTCTTCACTTAGCGCCGTCTAACGATTATGCAAATTGGGGTCATTCCTTATATGGGCAACTTGACCCCGGCTTTTGTGTTGTGAAAAAAAATGGCGACGGGTTAGAGAACAGAAAAATATGTCGGAATCATTACAACTCTATCGCGATTTCCCCCTTTTTCTACTGATCAGGGTTCTCCATTAACGATCTGCTACGATGTGATTATTACGAAACATTTATTTTTTTAATGGGGAAATCATTCAATAACTAAAACCATGGGGTTATTCCATAGAAGAAAGTGTCGGATTGTCTTGTGTGTGTTGACCTTTTCAGCAATATTTTGCGAATATGTTCAGGGTAAGTAAAATCATTGGCTCCTGGAAATGAAATCGACTTTTTCTGAGTCATTGTAAGAGCTAAAAGTATCTAGGATCTGTGTCCATTTTAGATGTGTGTATAAACGGGCAAATGTTGACATGTGGGTTTTTTAACTTGCTTAAATGCAATTTAATTAAAGTCTTATTGCTTTGTTCAATGATCAGAGATACATGACTTTTAAGTTATTTTCTTCTTTACACATTTCGTGACATTTGTAAACTTTTATCATGTTTATAGATCCCTGTGCATATGAAACTTAATTATGCCCTCTTTCATATTTATCCATGTTATCTGTGACCTGTTTATATTGTGAGTTGAAACCCCGGTGTCTTCACTAGTCTTGAACATTACAACTGTTTGCCTGTGTCTTATAATATATCTGTGACTCATTCTTAGTGAAAGTTGTTTGGACCACACAGGACATTCGGTCCTGTGTAATTACAGAGCTGTGGAAAACTTTTTCAGATAGCCAGTCATTCGGACCGACAAGAAGACAAAATAAGCCAGTCCGAAGTGATTTTTACCGGTCTGAAATAGTACGTCGCAAAATTTTAAAAAAAGCATAACATTTATTTATTTCATTACACTTCTATTTACTTAATAATAAAATAACATTCAGTCTCCATTTCCAAGTCCTGTTCCATTTTTTTTTTTTTTTTTGCATTTATAACAATACTAGATTTCACCGCTTTTGGGCAGGTGACAATGCCAATTCAGCATAGTAAACGTTAATGCATTTGGGAATTATATAAACCTAGAAAACAAGTCTTAAAAACTTTGAAGAAATTGTGTGCATCAATAATAAAGATATCAACATGATTGATGAAAAAAAAAGAAATCTGGGACAGTTGAAAGTACTAGATTTACCGCTTTCCCCAACTGTGTTTGAATTCTTTACATATTGAGCTTGCCTTTATCTGTTTCTTTATGTTTTCTACCTAATTCTGCCCCAGTTGTAAATTTAATAGGTCACGAGACCATGCTGGTTTCGCTTTCATTTTCAGCCTCAATCTCATATAAAGAAGAAGTATTACGCAATCGTATATAAGGTACGATAATTAAGCTGGGAAGTGTGTCAATGATAAATGGAAAAACAAAAAAACTTTAACCAAAAAAGGGGCTGGTCATTTGGAACGACATCGATAGCATTTTTATCGGTCACATGCCTTTTTTGCCGGCATGACCGGCAGTATTCCACAACTCTGTAATTAATGAACACATAGGTTTTGCCGGACTAAAAAACTTAATGTTAAAAAAAGTGAAACATGAAATTGCAGAACCAAGGAGATAGCATAATACTGTAGACTGTCCATGCGGTTTTTATAACATTCAGTTATGTATTTGGAATTGTGCAATATTTTTTACTTATAAGACTCTGCATCAAAATAGTAAAGCTCAAAACCGGACACTGAGACATCGGACATTCTGGTCCGGTGTAAAAAAAAATGACACGTTGGACCAGAGGCATTGCACATCAGTCAGGTCCGACGGTCCAATGTCTTTCGCATAGACTGGTGACTTCAAAAGTATAAGCTATTCTCTGTAGAAAAGTGGACAGGCTTAGCTGCAGGGTCTTAATACAATCCAGCAAAAACTGGTATATATAGGGAGTAGGGAGCTAATGATCCACCACTAATTCCTCGATGGCCTGCTTCAAACTATTAAACATGTTAAATGTTTATTTTTATTTTTTGAACAGATTTGTTAGTCAAAAGGCAGAATGTTATTTATTGTCGTAAAACATTAGTTTAATTCACTTCACTGGTCTTAAAAAAAATATTATTATTGGAACTTCTGAGAATAAGGTTGCCTCCGTTAACCATTCACCAGTTGTTTTTTTTACATTCAGCCTTGAAGTTCAACCAGGTTAGCCATATTTGATTCCATAAGCTACAAAAATATAATATATTTCCAATTGTCTTTTACTGTTTAAAGATAATCATTCTGTAAAAGTGTTATAAATTCTAGGAAAAAGTGAATCTTTTGAAATTTAAAAACCAACCCCCCAAAAGTTTGGAAATTTGAGAATGATTGCTTTAAAAGGAAAAGAGAGTTCTAACAGAGACTGAGTTGTATGAAGTGCAGGCCATGGCTCGCCTTGTGCACAATCATGACAATAGGGAGGGGAGAAATGGACTTGTAGATCTAAAAACTTTTCATCTGTCAGCTGTAATGTTTCAGCTGTAATGTTGTTGCATGTTGAATGATCTAGATTGTCACACATCTATGTTTGTATACTTTCAGCAATACCAAGTTTCACAGAATTCACATTCCTAATAGAACCGAGCGACCTGGTGGTGTCCAGGGGTGAAGCTGCCACGCTCCACTGCACTGCCCAATCAGACTCTACGTCACACAAGGTCACATGGATCAAGGACGGCCAACCATTGGATCTTGATGCTAACAAGTAAACGTTTAGTCTCATAAATTTTGGGGAATGCAGGGGGAAAAGGGGGACGAAACATGAAGTTGAATGTTCTGCTTCTTGTCTGTCTTAATTTTGAATTAATTTTAAAATTTAGATTTTATACGTACATGGGTCTAAATTGAATTTTAAGAAAACATGAACACATTGACTGATCTAGTTTGATTTGAGGCTTGAACTGTTATAGTTTTTGCTGAAGTGAAATGGAATTATTGTTTATGAATAAAACAAGTCCCTCATTTGAATGCTCATTTGTTGAATTTACTCTCTAATTTCTTTGGCTTGTGAAGAAAAGAAAAATTTACTCTAATGAAGAATTAACTTAATCATGTTAATCATGATATCTAATACGTGTGTGTGAATTGAATAAATGACAGGAAATTGTTAGGTCTTTGTAATGTATTATTAGATAAATTTGTTAATAAGCCCCAGAAAATCTCATAATGTTCTATTTCTGATAAACAATGGTAAGAAAAATCATTGACTCAAAATTTTCTTTTTAAAAAAGAGCTTTAGGCCTTACAAACTTTTTCCAATTGGATATAGTCTCTAAAAATAGCATCATTATGGGGGAAAAAAAGATTTATAAGAGATTTCCAAAAACTGAAAACTTGTATGGCATTTCAAAAATATATTTGAAAGTAAGAGTGCAACGATAAACCGTTTGACGGTATATTGTGGTATATTTTTCCATGGTTCAATTCATGATACGCTAAACTGATATCACAGTTCGGTTCAATCGGTCCAGAATTATCCGAATCATCCGTTTTGTTTCCTCGTTTACAATTTCAAAATGGCTTCTGCGCAAAACTAACGCAGTAACAGCAATTAAACTCCTTTCCAGCATCTTACAGACCTCAAATTTAACATGGTGAAGGACTTTATCTCATTCCTAATGATTGTGATTAAAAGTTATTGATGTTAATACAAGTGATAAACCCTTTAGGTCTAAAAGTATTCTATGGTAATACACGGTATCTCATCATGCGTGTATTTCCAACTTGTGGACTAGAACGTGATAACATGAGAAAAATAACAACTGGTTTTCTACGTAAATAAAAGGAATAAAAGAATGAATGTCTTCATTTTTCATTCCAATTTAAAAGGAAGATTATGAGGAAAGGCCCCCTTTTATGAATTTAAGTCATATTTGAACTTTGAATCCAGGCTACCGTAGTTCCATGTAAATGTTCTTCTTTGGTTTAGAATAATGTTACAACTCAAAGTTCTACCTATCAATCCAAATAAAGTTAACAAATTGATATTTTAATTATCAAAAATATGAATATTTGATATAACCCTGTCGAGTTTTAAAAAATATGATGACAAACTTGAAAGACTTCTTTACTTTGTCATGCATCGTGATACGTATCATATTGTGAACTGAATACCTTGATACGTATTGTATCGCGAGATTTGTGTATCGTTGCACCCCTATTTGAAAGACAGTGCAAATGCTTATCTGTGGGATGAACTCTTGGTCCTTGTCTTAATGATCTAGACTTAATTGTTCCAGTTGTCCTATATTTTGTTATTGGACTGCGTGGAATTTTACATGCAGAAGTTGGTCCAGCAATTTCAATTATATAAAAATAAACACTGGAAAAAGTAAAATATCAAAAGAAGATTCTCTTTTTCTCTCTTTTCCTTATTTTGGAAAAAAAAATATGTTTTCCAAATTCAAACAACTGTCAGATGTGCATTAAATGCATGTATTAACTATTAATTCATACAATCATAATGATTTTAAAAATGTTCTTTCAAATTGGTGCTCTGTGTGTGTGTGTGTGTGTTTGAGTCTTTGAGAGAGAGGGGGGGGGGGGGGGGGGAGGGGAACTGTGGGTCACCCATGAGTTATCTGTAATTGCTGAAAAAAATTCTCTTAGGTTTATTTATAACTGATGCATTTTTAAATCATCTTGAACATCTTGATGAAACATTAACATCATTAAGCTTTAAAGATGATTAGCAGTGTTCTCTGATCATAGCATGATCTTAAAATTCTGATAACGTGAAAAAAGATGTTCTTTTAATATATTTTTTGAGTTTTCAAAATCTAAAGGAGGAATAATTAATCAAGAGGCTGAAAGAGGGGAATAAAATGGATTGAAGCCCACCTGGATGTATTATCTCATATTAAAGATCAAGGTTTTGTTTGGGAAGGGGGGTTTAATGGGTCAATTTCACTTCCATTGGTGTTCAGTTTCAACAGTGACCTTGCTACTTTTTGGATCCACATCACATAGATGTAAATATTTTGATCATTTCTCTAAACCATATTCTGCACACTTCTGAAGTGTTTATCTTGAAAAAAATAAGTTTTCAAAATTCTTGAAGATTAAGACTTCTCTGGGAACATATGCCAACTTTTCAGTCACAGATCAATATACCAACACATCTTAATCACAGTCCAAGATGAAGAGCAGAAATATTGTGTTGGGAAGATGTGAAATATTCTCTAATTAGAAAGAAAAAACTGACATGTACATCTTATTTGACAGAAGTTTATCTAAGTAGATCACAGTGTCTGTATAAAGTTCTATAGATGATGTTTTGATGTTCAGCCTCAAGATTAAAGGGCTTTTTTTCAAATATAAGTTGGTAAAGAAGAGCGTGTTGTCAGGGTCAAAAGAAGCTTAAGCCTTCTGCTTGTCAGGAAGAAGTGTCAAAACATACAAAAGACCCAGAAAAATGAAGGAGAAAGAGAGAGGCAGAATGAGATGTGAATGAGTGACTCACGCTATCAGACTTTGAAGTATTAATAGTAAACATGAAAGTCAATCCTGTAGACATGGCTAGCTCCCTGAAGCTGAGGATAATTATTTAATCAGCAAAAGATTTTCATTTAGATAGCATGGATATATGAAATTATGAAGGAGTGTGTTTTTTTATCTGGGTCGGAGGGGGAGATCCTTGTTTTTAACATGACTAATTTGGAGGATGTCTTTGTTGTATAGAATTAAAACAGATCTAGGCTTACCAATATACTTACTGAGGGAGATTATCAGGGAAGAAGATTATACATTTTGTCTGATGCTGCTCCTCTGTGATGTCGATACAACTTTAAAATTTTCAAATACATCCTCCACTTTGTTAAATATTTTTATACTGAAATATTGGAAATAGGGTAAAGCACACTGATTTGGAGAAGCATATTACCATAATTGCAGGTAATAAATCAAGGAAAGGGGGGTACACTTTAACGACCACACCGTCCTTGACTTGAACTTCGTGAGATACATTTACTGTTGGAATAGGTTACTAATTTAACATGATTTATCATGGCCAGTTATTGTAAGAAAAGTGAGGTTACTTATTTTTCAATATTTAACCTGACCTGCTATTTTAGGATTTAAACAGTTTTAGGGACAGGGGTCAGAAGTCATGCCTTAGATGCTATGTGTGGCCCATATTTTCCAAATGGTTGACTTTAAAAATTTCAGTTTCTGAAAAAGATTCATAGCGATATAAAAATCTTAATTACAAACCCAGCAATGGTGTTGTTTTGGGATATATATATCTGATGCTACAATGACAAGTTGCACATTAGGGCTGGGTATCGTTTGAAAATTTCATATTGCGATATATTGCGATATTTGGAACTGTATTGCGATATGTATTGCAATATTTTGATATCAGTTAAAATGCTCTTTTCTTATTTTATTAACCTCAATTTATAAGCAGAGTGTATAAAACTTTTATAAGTACGTTGTAACAAAAAAGTTCCAAGTTGATTTCACTATTTTACTTTGTGTAGGTCGATATGTGGTTATAAGGACTCATGGCAATTGATATTTACCGAAGACACAGAAAGTGATGGCGACCGAGACATGAGTCCTTATAACCACATATCGACCTACACTGAAGTCCGTAATAGTAATATTATATAATCACTCAAAGTGAATGCACTGACACAGTCCTAACTGAACAGACTTGGCTGTCATTACGTCACAATGGTTCAAAACACGCTTCTTATATTATGACATCATGTTCTACGAACTAACCTTCGTGCAATCGAACGGAGTGTCGTGCGATATCATTTTCCGCGGAGGCGCTTTCGCGTCGATATCTCAAAAGGAGGAATATCACGTGACGTCCTTTCAGCCAATGAAAATTACAAAAATAATCTTCTTATATAATATTTTTTCTTAACAAATTGCAATACACTGGAATAATGATATTATTGCGCAGCCCTATTGTACATATTCCAAACTTGAATCTACCCTTCAAAAATCGTGGCGTCACTCATTGGCCAAGAGGGTTTTACAAGAAGAATTTTTTTTTCAAATGACTTTATGCTGGGATCAAATATAGCAGTGTAGGAGTATTTTTACTATCATCATAATATTGATCATAACAGACTAGTATTTAATTAAAATGCTTGTTTTCTTTCAGGAATGTTTGGTCCAATGGGTCACTACATATCACTGATGTTCAGAACTCAGACAGAGGGTTGTATCAGTGTATGTCCAGTCTACCTAACCTGGGGACGATAGTCAGCAGGACGGCTAGTCTGAGAACAGCATGTAAGTATAGATATAAGGTCAATGTGATTATACAATTACAGCAAGGCACCACACTCTGAATTCAAAGTTCCAAGTAAAAAAGATTAGGTCTAGGATATTTTTTGTAAGATTATAGTTTTTACACAGTCTGATAATATGAACTGCATAATATACTCATTTTCAAATTTATCAAGCACTTTGACTTTAATTTACAGCAGAGTAAATAGATTCCTGATTTGGGAAAATTTTCTAATATAATTGATTTTATTTATTATTTTTTTTTTGTAGATCTTTCTAGAAACTTCCTCATCCAGCCTCAGGATCTTACCATCTATCTTCAGGATGTTGCCATGTTTCAGTGCCGTGGTGACGGTCTACCTGCACCGAACGTCACGTGGTACAAAGACAACAACGTGTTACGAGATGTCAAATCTAACATCCGGATTTATCAGGACGGGGTACTAGAGATCAATCCCGTGGAGTTCGCGGACTTTGGAACGTATTACTGTCAGGCGGAGAATATTGAGAGAGGAAGAAGTAGTCGTCTGGCAAAACTGGAACAGAACGGCAATATAGGTACAACTAGTGATGATGCTAAAGCAATATAGGTACAACTAAAGCATATAGGTACGACTAGAGATGATTCTAAAGCAATATAGGTACGACTAGAGATGAGGCTAAAGCAATGTAGGTACGACTAGAGATGATTCTAAAGCAATATAGGTACGACTAGAGATGATTCTAAAGCAATATAGGTACGACTAGAGATGAGGCTAAAGCAATATAGGTACGACTAGAGATGATTCTAAAGCAATATAGGTACGACTAGAGATGAGGCTAAAGCAATATAGGTACGACTAGAGATGAGGCTAAAGCAATATAGGTACGACTAGAGATGAGGCTAAAGCAATATAGGTACGACTAGAGATGATTCTAAAGCAATATAGGTACGACTAGAGATGATTCTAAAGCAATATAGGTACGACTAGAGATGATTCTAAAGCAATATAGGTACGACTAGAGATGATGCTAAAGCAATATAGGTACGACTAGAGATGAGGCTAAAGCAATATAGGTACGACTAGAGATGAGGCTAAAGCAATATAGGTACGACTAGAGATGATGCTAAAGCAGTGGAGGCTAGCTCTCTTGTCTTCTTATCTTAATCTTCTTCTGTCATGCATTTCTGCAATAAGGCTGCAGCTGTGTCTTGTAGAAGGCCCTATTTCTTGTGTCCCTTTACCATTATTTGAATGAGTAAAAGTGTAAGGCACATAACATGGCCTGGTGTCATGTTATATTCCTTGTGCGTACACTGAATTATATAATATGTATGAGTAATAGTCTAAGGCATAAAGCAAGTCCTGGTGCCATGCCTAAGACAATCTGTTAGCCTGGAACCAGTCTTAAGGTATTCTTTAATTGATCACACTTCACTTAAGATTTAGATTTCTTTTGGAATATTATCATTGATGCCAGATTTTAGTAAGCGAAGAGCATGATAATAAATCACTTTGTAGAATTTCTCAAGGCGAGTTTTCTTCATTAAATTTCTTATTCATTAATTGTCTTCTTCATTGTCTTCTTAATTAATCATCTTTATCTTAATTAATTGTCTTTTTCATTGTCTTAATTAATCGTCTTTATCTTAATTAATTGTCTTCTTCATTAAATGTCTTCTTCATTGATCATGTTTATTGTCCATGTTTTGTAGAATCTCTGAAGGAGGGCATGGCCCCGTCCTTTGTTATCACACCTATGGATACTAAGATACAGGAGGGGTCCTCCACCGTCCTGTTCTGCGGGGCTAATGGGAGGGACCACCTCGGGAAGCAGCCAGTCATCACATGGCTTAAGGATGGACTGACAATAGATTTCACGTAAGTAAACAAATCCTTCTCCTTCTTTTGTACCTTTATCACAATTGAATCCAGACAGGTATCCTTTGGATCTGCTAAATCTGTTTTGCAGATTAAGCTATTCTACTTTTAGATTCCAGTTGAATATTACATATTATTCATTTTCAAAACAGCAATTTGCAAACTTTCATCAGTTATAGTAAGTAGCATCATATTAGAAATATTTATTAATTTTATTGAAACATTTTATCTTTCATTATCTATCAAATTAGAGTATAAAGAAATGTTTTCTTTTAGTGAGTTACTTTCTGTTTAGGAAGAGAAGGAAAATTATTTGACATTTGCCTATTTACTTTGCATATCATTCATTTTAACCAGCAACATGTCAAACTTTCAGCAATGAAGCCATAGCTACTAATAATGCTTATTATGTCATTGGAATTTTCAAATAAGAATTTTGCACAAAGAAAAACAAAATTAGTCAATTTTTGGAAAGTTGAAACAAAAAAGGCACAAAAACAGATTTCACTATTGCCTAGCGACACTATTGTCTTTAATATCATATTAAGCAGCTTACTATAATAACTATCACATTAAGTGGAATGTCCTGTCTTCAGATTTTATCACATTAAGTGGTATGTTCTGTCTTTCAGATTGACACAGGGCAGACTTCAGATGACGGGAGCAGGCAGTCTTCAGATCTTCAATGTCCAGAAATCAGATGCAGGGACGTACTCATGTCGGCCAAGCAACATGGAGGACTCCATAGACTCAGAAGCTACTCTTACTGTCCTAGGTAATACACTGTAATAAACCAGCTATTATACACTGTAATAAACCAGCTATTATACACTGTAATAAACCAGCTATTATATACTGCATCTTTTATTTCTAAATCATCAATTAAAAATCTGTCAGCAACAAATGAAAATAGTGATTGAGTTGTGAATGTTATATGAAATATTTGTTACCTGAAGGTTAATTCAATTGAACAAAGTTTCAGCATGCCCCAAAACTATTGAGATGATCTCTAGTATTGAGCCTATGTAACATGCCCCAAGCTTCTGAATGGATCTCTGCAGCAAGTTGTTAATTTGTTCTGAAAATAGTATTGTCCCTTCTGTTGGAATTCGTGCATTTGAATCTCTTGCAGATTTTTATTTGTTGTATTTCCTTTTCAGTTCCACCCAAGTTTTTGGTAAAACCCAAAAGTCGTATGGCGGAAGAGAAGACTGATACCTTTTTTCGTTGTGAATTGGACGGTTCTCCAACCCCTGGAATCTACTGGACAAAAGACGGCAGTGCCATAGTAACAACTGATTATGTCATAGAGGACAGGAACGAGCTGAGAATTCTGGGATTGGTTCCGACTGATGCTGGGTTTTATCAGTGTCATGGAAACAATGAGCTTGGGAGTATACAAGCTATAGCTCAGCTCATTGTGTTACCTAATGGTATGTTATAGATAGCTCAACTCATTGTGTTACCAAATAGTAAAATAGTTCAGCTCATTGTGTTACTGAATGGTAAGCTATAGATAGCTCAACTCATTGTATACTACCAATGACCCAGCTTATTGTATTACCAAATGATAAAAGTAAATACAAAACATTACATACAAAGAAGTGAATCTGCTTATTGTGCTAACCATCTCTAAATATAAATGCATGAACTTTGACTTTTTCCTTTTGTTTACAGGCCCTGTTTCCTCGACAGCTAGCTATCAGTACTTAGATCCTTACTCCAGTAATGGAGCTAATCTACCCAAGGAGCCGTCAGATCTGTCAGCAGCCATCATATCCAAACGCTTCATCACGCTTCGATGGACCCAGCCGAGTAATCGAGAAGTGACAGGGTACTCTGTCTTCTGGAAAGAACAGGGGTCAACAAGGTAGGGGTGAGGGTTAAAGGGTCCGGGATAAAATGTTAGGTTCATTTAGTTATGTTGTATGTCAATGTATTATATGCTTGAAATCAATTAATTTAAAATAGGATCCTTTGTTTCATTCACGATTGCCACACAAAGGATAAAAGACACACCTTAAAAAAATTATAAGAAGTTTTAGATTAAGAAAATATTTATCTCCTAAAAGAAAGAGATAGAATGGGCTTAGAATGTGATAAAAGTTTGAAGTTTCCTCATTTTGTATTTCTCCAGAGAACGAATGTTGAACACAACTCACACAGAGGCCAACATCCCGCGACTAAAGCCAGACACGAACTATGAGTTCCGAGTAAGAGCTGTAAACAGCTACGGATTCAGCAGTAATTTTGCACGTACTACAGTACGCACTGATAAAGATGGTGAGTTTCCATTCAGTATGAAAACATACACAAACTTATCAGATAAAGCTACATGTACATTTAAGTGAATCAATTTGTTTTTCCCTCGCACTTCACTATAAGCATATTTTACTGTATGAATGTACTACTGTCTATTCCTACAGTTGCTGTTCCCAGCCCTGCAGTTGATGTACTGGCCATCCCCCAGTCTCCCCATTCTATCCTCGTGTCCTGGAATCCTCCCCGCCAACCCAAGGGACAAATCACCAAGTACCTCCTCATCTTCTCCGAGGCCGACAGCTCACATACGAGTCAGATCGAGGTCACGGACACAAAGAAGCTGTTGAGAGGTACAACCTTATATTATTTTATTCTGGACCAGCAAGCATTCAAATGAAATATGGAGATAATGAACAGTAATCATGGTAATCAATCTCAAAAGTCCATAGAAACAATACAAATAGAGTGCAGAGCAAACACAGCCTTGTAAAGCATCAGAGGTGGGATCAGGTGCCATGGAGGAATGAGCATCCCCTGCCGACTAGTCACACCCACCTTGTGCTCCTTGTCATGATTGGGAAAATAGAAAAAATGAGGGGAAAAAAATTTCAAAATTGTTTTAAGGTTGGAAGGAGGATGATGGGTCAGGGGTATGAAAACACAACAAGGTACAATGCTGAGTTTTTTTGATCATTATTTATCGAATAGATACTTACTTGCAGGTAAAAGGATATAGTAGATAGACAATCATGTAGATATTTAAGATGTGAGAGACCCTCGGAGGATGAGAGTGTTTTTGAGTAACATAAATTGTTATCTTGATTTTACCATTAGTTATTTGTGATCAGTAAGTGATAAACTTCCCTTCTTATCTAGATCTCTCATTGAGGATGTTTCATGATAGCCTTTCCATGTTATGTAGGGTTGATGGCATTTGGAGAGTACACGTTACACATTGTCTTTTGTAGGGTTGATGGCGTTTAGAGAGTACACGTTCCACATTGTCTTTTGTAGGGTTGATGGCGTTTAGAGAGTACACATTCCACATTGTCTTTTGTAGGGTTGATGGCGTTTAGAGAGTACACGTTCCACATTGTCTTTTGTAGGGTTGATGGCGTTTAGAGAGTACACGTTCCACATTGTCTTTTGTAGGGTTGATGGCATTTAGAGAGTACACGTTCCACATTGTCTTTTGTAGGGTTGATGACGTTTAGAGAGTACATGTTCCATATTGTCTTTTGTAGGGTTGATGGCATTTAGAGAATACACGTTCCACATTGTCTTTTGTAGGGTTGATGGCATTTAGAGAGTACCTGTCCACATTGTCTTTTGTAGGGTTGATGGCGTTTAGAGAGTACCCTTTCCACATTGTCTTTTGTAGGGTTGATGGCGTTTAGAGAGTACACATTCCACATTGTCTTTTGTAGGGTTGATGGCATTTAGAGAATACACGTTCCACATTGTCTTTTGTAGGGTTGATGGTGTTTAGAGAGTACATGTTCCACATTGTCTTTTGTAGGGTTGATGGCGTTTAGAGAGTACACGTTCCACATTGTTGCTGTCAATGAGAATGGTGAGGGCATGAGCACCAGGGAAATCTCCGCCAAAACTTTTTCAGACAAACCATCGGAACCCCCACAAAATGCCACTTTGGAAACTGCAAGTTCCACAGTATGTTACAATCTTTACAGCACTGTAGATCTAGTTAAACTATCATCATGATCATACTCTGTTTTAATTGGCTCATAATCAGTTTAAGAGAAGTCTGTTTTATTTGAAATCACCAGTTTTAAATAGCCTTCTTGCGACAAGGGGGGAAATTTTTAATGTTTATGTATAAATGAGTATAATTTTTGATTTTTCCAGTCACTGATTGTAAGATGGGATCCTCCCCCACCGGATCATCAAAACGGAATCATAACGGGGTACAAAATCCGCTACAAAACACGAGGGGCATCCAGGAACGGTGCTACTTTTACCACTGATGGAAACAGACGATTGTACGCTCTGACTAACCTAGAAAAAGATACAGAATACCAGGTGCGGATCTCAGCGCTTACTGTCAACGGGAGTGGACCACTGACCCAGAAACTCTGGGCCACCACTTATAAAGATGATCTGGATGGTGAGTATCCCAGCTTTAAATTAATAATAATAATAATACTTTATTTAAAGAATTAAAATTAAAGTGTTACATTATGCATAAATTTGACTTTCATGCAGTATTTTAGATTGAATCTGTAAAAACTGTACTAAGAGTCATAAATAAAAATATGTTTATATAATGGTCTTTTCCACCAGCAAACTGATATCGTGAGATAATGTATATTCATTTTCTTGCATTTTGAAATAATTTATGCTTCATCTCTACATTTCACAATTCTTAAAATATGCTTTATTTGATAAATGCAATGAATTAAAGATATGCATGCCCCAGGGACAGATACTATCTCTAGATTTAATTTCATAAGAACTTTTTCATATTTTTTCACAGAGTCCAAAGTACCGGATGCTCCACGTAGAGTACATGTGACCTCGGACGACACGTCCATACGTGTTTCCTGGTCCACCCCTCCCCCCGAGTCTAAGATAATGGTCCGGGGGTACATTCTTGGGTGGGGGAAGGGCGTGCCAGACACAGAAAAGAAACATTTTGGGCCAGAAACTCATGTCTTCACCATCAGAAATCTGTGTAAGTAACCTTCTGTAGTGCTGTATGTTTTAAGTTTATGTACGTGTGGTTCATGTCTGATAGGAACAGAGGAATCTTGTTGTATTATTATTATTTAGATTAGTTATGGCCAGAGGAGCCTGGTTTTTCAAGTTTTTAGATAGTTTGTGGTCAGTAGAATCCATTATTTTATTAAGTTATTAGATAAGTTGTAGTCAGACAAGTCTGATTGTTTTATGTTATTAGATAAGTTGAGGCCAGAAGAGTCTGATTGTTTCAAGTAAGTTGAGGTTGGAGAAATGTGGACTCTATACATCTTTCTCCATATTTTTCTTATACATAAAATTAAATATTAATATTTATTTCTAATGAATTTTAGTGCCTTCATCAGAGTATGTCATAACTGTCAAAGCCAAGAACAACCAAGGAGAAGGACCACCACGATACACCACAGCCACCACCACCAAGGAGTCAGGTAAGATACCACATGTCAAAGTGTGGCACCTCTAGTTATTACCACCACCACCAAGGAGTCAGGTAAGATACCACATGTCAAAGTGTGGCACCTCTAGTTGTTACCACCACCACCACCAAGGAGACAGGTAAGATACCACGTGTCAAAGTGTGGCACTGCTAGTTATTACCACCACCACCAAGGAGTCAGGTAAGATACCACATGTCAAAGTGTGGCACCTCTAGTTGTTACCACCACCACCAAGGAGTCAGGTAAGATACCACATGTCAAAGTGTGGCACTGCTAGTTGTTACCACCACCACCAAGGAGTCAGGTAAGATACCACATGTAAAAGTGTGGCACCGCTAGTTGTTATCACATCTAAAGAACCAGGTAAAGTACCAGTCATAAAAATAAGGCATCTCTAGTTATTATCAACACCACCTCTAAAGAAGTAAGTAAGGTACCGCAGATAAAAGTGAGATACCTCTTATTGTTACATGTACAGTATATTACCACCACCACCACCAACACAATGGTTTTACATAAAAGAACTCTGTAACTATAACATTCTTACTACCAAGTTTTTCCAGTGCATAAGTCTGTTCTTATTAGAGAACATCTGTAATTGTTAAATGTATATCACTAGATAATTTATTATTGTGTTATTTTATTTTCCAGTGCATGAGTCCGTTCTTCCTCTGATGCCACCCGTGGGCCTGAAGACACTCGTTTTATCTTCCACGACAATCGTCCTAATGTGGAGTGATACCACACTGGATGTCAATCAAATGGTGCAGGACAACCGCTACTATACCGTGAGGTACCGCGTCGCCACCAACGTGGAGAGTGAAAACAGCAGGTAAGTTGATATACAGATATTACCAAGAGATAAGGCACGGTCACCAAGATTGAAAAAAATGAAAATAACTGGTAAAGTTAAGTACAGCCAAAAATGACTATTAAATACATAAATTGATAAATAAGGTACATTTATCTTTGCTTGAAATCAAGTTAAAAATAATACATCATACATCTTCTATAAGTCTGAATGGGTCAAATTATAGATACTGGTACCAGAATTCTACAGACCTGAATGAACACATAGACAGTCTGAGGCCTAATACCAGGTACGAGTTTGATGTCATGGTCATCAAAGGTCGTCGCCAAAGTCCATGGAGTATGAAAGAAACCAACAAGACGCAAGAAGCAGGTAAGCCACTGAGTGTTACATTCACAATTGTGTTTGATTTCATTTACGATTCTGAAAAATCCTTAAGAAGGTTTTTACTTGTTTGTATTTTAAACTTCTTCAAGATTAGAATAAGATTTTAATGTAAACAGATATACTATATTGTGTAACTGATGATGGAGGTAAAAATGATTATCAAGCAAATTGTATGTTTAGTTTACCAAAGTTGGCAAAATTAAAGACAACAAATTATAACTGCTGAAGAAGAGAATTTTATAAAGAAAACTTAGTTACACAGTATCTTTTGTAACAGTAGGTCTTTCTGAATCCTTAATTTTCCTTTTGACAACAAAATATCAACAAAATATTTTAGAATATAGATGAACTTTTAGATTTTCGTGTTGATATATTATATGTTGGTTGAGACGTTTTGAGATCTGCTTTGTATTATATTCTTATCTAGATCATGTTTTGTATTTTGTAGCCCCAGGCTCTCCCCCTCTAGATCTGACCCCGGTCCCCAAGGAAAACGACCCCAGAGCAGTCATCATGAACTGGCAGCCCCCAGCCAAACCCAATGGACAGATTACAGGTAAGTCAGTGTCAGGTAATCTATGATTGGTCAGTGTCAAAGGTCAATGTGAGATGTGTGAAACTTTGGTACAACAACAAATATCTAGTGTAGTGCACTTGTACTCGTTATCCTCTTACTGTAAATGTACTTTTTTCCATTGGGTCATAATTCTGCAGAATCACAAGTTCTGTTCCATACTCAGAAAATTGTTCAGATTTCTTGATTTGCCATTGTAAGTCTTCAATGCAATTTATGTACGCTGTGATAAATTTCCGCTAAAAATCTCTGACTGCATACACAGTAATAAAATGAAGATAATCCCACTTGGGAAAAAGTACATCTACAGTATATTGCATGTCAAATGAGATGAGTGAAATTTCTGACATTGTTCACTGGACTGGGATTCACTTGTATTGATTGACCTGTTTTTTGCCTGTGTCTGCTTTTCTGTACATCACCTAATTTTTGTGACACCTTATATTTGCAAGGTAGTAATTTGGTATTAAAAAGGAAGACACAATTTTCACAAGTTCAAGAAGAAAATTATACTAGAGAATAAAATTTTTTGCAAGCAAACAGCTCGCGTAATTACGCGAAAATAAAGTTCTCATGGATAAAAAGTAATTTACAGAAAAAAAAGATTGATCAAGTCTTCAGAAGTGAATTTAAATGATGAAGTTTTTCTAGGTTACTTGGTTTTCTACACGACTGATCCTAAACAAGAATTACGTGAGTGGGTGGTGGACGGCATCCTGGAAGGGGACGAATTGTCAGCGACGATAAAACGACTGACACCGTCAACGACATATTACTTTAAAGTCCAGGCACGTAACAGTAAAGGGTATGGACCATTGTCTGAAACAGTGATCTACAAAACTCCTAAAGGTAAGCAACTAAACACTCTAGAAGCATTGTTTAGTAAATTGGTACATGAACTTAGAAAGGTGTGCTGAATCCCTCTCTTAAGGTAGGCAAAAAAAAAAGGAAAAAATTTCATTTAAGTTCAAGGCTCAGGTTTTTTTTCAGCTTATTTTGAGGAAAATTGAAAGTTATTCGGCCCTCACATGAGATAAACTAAAAACATTTAACCAGAAGATTCATGCTTTGAATTCAATGTGGAAATGTGGAAATTTAAATTAATTTCTGAATATTGAGAGATCTCCCAAGCAAGTAAGAGGCCTATTGTGTTCATCTGCTGTTAAAATTTTTAACCATTATTTGATGAAATTGAATTTATTTGAATTTATTTTTACATCCCCCCATGATTTTCCACACAAATTTTGAAGAAGTAAACAAAATGATTGCATGGGTGATAAGGCAAATTAGTGATGTCTTTTGTATGTCCTGGGGTAGGGAGTTAAGTTTGTTTGGTGTAGATAAGATTGCTTTTGTCTGGTAGTGCACTATTACAGCACACGTACACAGTCACACAATGTATAAGGTAGATAGTTATCTCCCCTTGACTGAAGCCTCGAATCTTCAGATTGACCCCTCTGTGGCTTTAGTCACCTGACCTAGAGCTGTCCAAGTTTTAAGATGTGTATCCTTTTCAAAAATTTCCAAGCTGGAGCTTGGTATGGGTGCGATTTAAGTAAGCTTGAATTTATGCAAAACTTAAGCTTATTGAGATAGATTGATTGAGAATCTCTCCATGCTCTGTTGTTGAAATCTCAGACCTGTTGTTATAATCAGGGTAATGAGTAACACCAGGAGTGAATTGGAACTATACAGCAATAAATGTTCAGTTAAGAGAATTTGCTCAGGAGTTAAATAGTGTTTACTTCCAATATTATAATTATCATCTATGTATTATTAAGGGATTGGAACTATACAACAGTAACTGTTCAGTTAAGAGAATTAGCTCAGGAGTTGAATAGTGTTTACTTCCAATATCATATCATCTATATATTAATAAGGTTAGAGTATGGTGTGAGAAAAAATATGCACGTGTATACATGTAATTGAGATCCTAAATAGTTCTAATATAGTAAAATACTCAGGTTTTTCTACTGATTAAATGTTCTATTTCCATAGTTTTAGATTTTTTTTATAATACTATTTATTGAAATGTACATTTATATGAATATGAAAGCCACTTCAGTGTCAGAGTTCTCTAAATGCCTTGGCATTGTACTGTATGTAGTCCTGGTATGAAGGAGATTATTGTGTTGCTTGGTGACGGGTACATTGGTCTTCTTCACAAAAGATCTTTTATAAGCAATCAAAGGTTTACAAAACTTGAATGCTCTCCGTTTAGCCATTTTAATGTTAACCAAGGTTTTCTGTAATATTTATGAAGTGATATAGATATAAATATATAAATGAACATATTTTTGGTGCCAGTTAATAACCTTGGTACTCTGTAGAGATCAGTCACTTGAAACACAGAATGCATGATAATCAATCAAAACTCAGGGTTCTGAAAAAAAAAATCACTTGGTTTGAGGGAATTTAGCCTATGGGTATAGGTCGTATTATTGAGCTGTTATGTAGTGTTAATTGTGTTTATAGAGATCTTTTGTGAAGCGGTCCTGTACTGACATTGTTTACTAACCATTGTGATGTTTGTGGCATGTTTTTAGCGGACGGCAGTGGTGGCGGTCAGATAAACCCCGAATACCCCCAACAGATAGATGGGAAAATCCCACCACATAATAGTATACCACAGTCTCCCAAACCAGAAGGTAAATATAGATGGGAAAATCCCACCACACAATCGTATACCACAGTCTCCCAAACCAGAAGGTAAATATAGACAGGAAAATCCCACCACACAATATTATACCACAGTCTCCCAAACCAGAAGGTAAATATAGACGGGAAAATCCAACCACACAATATTATACCACAGTCTCCCACACCAGACAGTAAATATTGACAGGAAAATCCCACCACACAATATCATACCACAGTCTCCCAAACCAGAAGGTAAATATAGACAGGAAAATCCCACCACACAATAGTATACCACAGTCTCCCAAACCAGAAGGTAAATATAGACGGGAAAATCCCACCACACAATATTATACCACAGTCTCCAGGGTTCGACACTAACGTTAGTCCGTTAGTCTCAGACTAACACATTTTTATTCGGACTAATTAAATCTGTGGCTAATTAGTCCGAACGGACCAATAAAAATTCCTGGAAAACAAAATGAATAATTTACTAATGTCCGATTCTCCACAACTTTTACTGGAAAACCCCGCATTTATTTTTAGCTTTCTAACTTCTTGGCGGGTAGTTAGACAATTTCGAGTCAGCACTTAATTTTTTGACTGATTGATATGAAGTAAAACGTTTTAGCGTTCATAATTTATATGTCACATAAAAGAAAGATGTCAGACATTTTGGATGTTTGTTTGTTTGTTTGTTGTTTAACGCCCTTCTCGAGAATTTTTCACTCATATGGAGACACCACCACTTGCCGGTGGAGAGCTGCAAATTTTGTCCTATGCTCGGCACTTATAGCCATTGAGAAGTGAGGAATCTTTTTTGTGCCAGCACCTACTGCAATACGGGACCCCGGTTTATACGGTCTCATCCGAAGGACCGTTTTTTTGGATGTAATGCAAGAGAAAAAGAACGACATCGGGAATACGATCGTACTCTTTGATCACGAGATTTCAATGAATCCGTGCTTGGGAATAAACCCAAACCCTTTCACGTAAATGCTTTGTTTATTTAATAAAAGTATAAAAAAAAAAAACGTATATTGAAATGTTTATTTTTAAATTAATGTTTCAAAACATTGATGTTTCCTTTTTTGACGGACTCATAAAATCGCTTGCGGACTGGTAAAAGTAAAGAAGCACTAGTCAGGCCGGACTAAAGCCTAAAAAAGTTAGTGTTGAACCCTGGTCTCCCAAACCAGAAGGTAAATATAGACAGGAAAATCCCACCACACAATAGTATACCACAGTCTCCCAAACCAGAAGGTAAATATAGACGGGAAAATCCCACCACACAATCGTATACCACAGTCTCCCACACCAGAAGGTAAATAAAGATGGGAAAATCCCACCACACAATCGTATACCACAGTCTCCCAAAACCAGAAGGTAAATATAGACGGGAAAATCCCACCACACAATATTATACCACAGTCTCCAGGGTTCGACACTAACGTTAGTCCGTTAGTCTCAGACTAACACATTTTTTTTCGGACTAATTAAATCTGTGGCTAATTAGTCCGAACGGACCAATAAAAATTCCTGGAAAACAATATGAATAATTTACTAATGTCCGATTCTCCACAACTTTTACTGGAAAACCCCGCATTTATTTTTAGCTTTCTAGCTTCTTGGCGGGTGGTTAGACAATTTCGAGTCAGCACTTAATTTTTTGACTGATTGATATGAAGTAAAACGTTTTAGCGTTCATAATTTATATGTCACATAAAAGAAAGATGTCAGACATTTTGGATGTTTGTTTGTTTGTTTGTTGTTTAACGCCCCTCTCGAGAATTTTTCACTCATATGGAGACGCCACCACTTGCCGGTGGAGAGCTGCAAATTTTGTCCTATGCTCGGCACTTATAGCCATTGAGAAGTGAGGAATCTTTTTCGTGCCAGCACCTACTGCAATACGGGACCCCGGTTTATACGGTCTCATCCGAAGGACCGTTTTTTTGGATGTAATGCAAGAGAAAAAGAACGACATCGGGAATACGATCGTACTCTTTGATCACAAGATTTCAATGAATCCGTACTTGGGAATAAACCCAAACCCTTTCACGTAAATGCTTTGTTTATTTAATAAAAGTATAAAAAAAAAAAAAAAAAAACGTATATTGAAATGTTTATTTTTAAATTAATGTTTCAAAACATTGATGTTTCCTTTTTTGACGGACTCATAAAATCGCGTGCGGACTGGTAAAAGTAAAGAAGCACTAGTCAGGCCGGACTAAAGCCTAAAAAAGTTAGTGTTGAACCCTGGTCTCCCAAACCAGAAGGTAAATATAGACAGGAAAATCCCACCACACAATAGTATACCACAGTCTCCCAAACCAGAAGGTAAATATAGACGGGAAAATCCCACCACACAATCGTATACCACAGTCTCCCACACCAGAAGGTAAATAAAGATGGGAAAATCCCACCACACAATCGTATACCACAGTCTCCCAAAACCAGAAGGTAAATATAGACGGGAAAATCCCACCACACAATATTATACCACAGTCTCCCACACCAGACTGTATATATAGACAGGAAAATCCCACCACACAATCGTATACCACAGTCTCCCACACCAGAAGGTAAATATGATGGGAAATCCCACCACACGATAATCTTGTGTTACAAGCTAGATAGGAAATAGGATAGTACACCACATTCTCCCACACCAGAAGATAAAAATAGATGGAAAATCCCACCCTACAGTAGTCACCCCAAGGTAATTATAGTTATACATAGTTAATGTACAATATTTTGAATTTTTTTCTTTTGATGGATTATCTTTAATAGCCATGATTGCCCTTTTACCATGTTTTACTTTCGGATGTGAAATTCTGTAAGGGTTTAAATCCAGGGTGTTTGACCAACTCTTGACTTTTTTGAATAGGAAGGTGACGATCTTTCGGTCAGTGAAGCTCTTGTACATCTGGGCAAAGTTATAAGATAATAGATATATATCCTACTCAATTTTTGAAGACAGATTCATTTACATGTTGAGAGTATTTGCAAAATTCCTTATATTTATCAATTTTTATTCAAAAATGACGAAAATAGGAATGCATGTGTTTCTGATTTTAGTGAACAAGTAAAACTTTACGACTAGATAAATCTTCAGTTCAGAACATCATACATGCTAGCTAAGGGAAATCTAAACTTACTACTGTAATAGATAATTATGGAATTAGGAGACAGAGAAATGGTAGGGTACAGAAGTAAATATTAAGTAAAGTCTGGATTGTTAAATGTTTTATACTTGTATCTATAGACAGCGTAAATAGTGACGGACGAAGGGGTGGTAACTCTGAAGGCGGGCTGCCAACGGGAATCATGAACATTATCATCGCGTCAGTAGTCGGGGCAACCTTCTGTATCATCATCATCGTAGTGGCCGTCATCTACTGCAAGAGACGTGACAACGAACAGAGACTGAAACGACAGTATGTACAACAACAACCCAACAATACTCGCCAGAGTTAAATATGCAAAGTTATTCATTTATTGAAAGTGTATAAATTCAATGATCCTCAGGTTTTTTCATTGAAAAAGAAATTTCCATGCTGACGCTGTTTGTAAATCATCGTATATCATGGTGACACTTTTCTTAAAACTTTTATGTTTGTCGTGAAATTGGAAAAAAAAAAGGTTGTTATGTTATACACTAGTTCATGAACAGTTTATCAATTATAATGGAAATACACTTTTCTCTGTTAACATGGTTAATAATATGTGGAAATATTTTCAGACTTCATCAGGGATTCAAACAAGAAATGGTTCATTTCAACTCGGATGTAAACATGAAAAAAAAAATGATTAGGAAGTGATTTTAAAAGGTGTGTTCAAAACTTATTATCTTGCAGAGCACAACAGAATCAACAGTCTCCACTAAAGGGTAAAGGTCAAGGTCGTGACCTTAAACCCCCTGACCTCTGGATCCATGACAACATGGAGATGAAGAACATTGATAAAGGTCAGAGGAGTGAGTCAACATTAACAATGAGCACGACTCGGCGGAGTTCTAATGACTACAGATCGATGGATGACCTTCCACCTTACCATGAAGAGAGAAGTAAGACTTAAATTCAAGATAAATTCAAGTGAAACATAAGTTTATTTACAACAAGAACGGAGGATTCAAGTGATGGGCAGAGACAACAAGTATAAGGTTAACAACCCATTGCTAAAAAATGGATTAAACAATTTTAAAACAAGTTTTGGTTTTCTGTTTACTAGATGAGATGTATTACCATCCTCCTTCTGATCATGAAGAGCGGGAGAGGTTCCTGCCCCCCAGACAACCCAATCCTGGGATAATCCGACCCAAAGCTACCAAACCTCTCATGATTTCTGTTGATGCTCAGCCACCACCCAGGGAACGTAAGTTAAAAAAATGATAGGGTTATCTCCATAATCCAAGTTAAATGATAGGACTATCTCCATAATCCAAGTTATATGATAAGAATATCTCCATAATCAAAGTTAATTTTCTTGACATGCATGACATGTCAGTTGCCTGGGTATAATTAACTACAGTCTCTATTGGTAGCTCAAGTTTCATTGAGTTTAATGTTGCAACATAAAAAATTGTTTCAAATTTTCTTTAAAAATAATTTGCAAATCTTAAAGGTTCAAAGGAATAAAGGGTTTTAAAACAGTTTACAAAATGTATGTTCTGAGTAAGAATATATTTATCAGCTGTATGGAATGTTCGTTTTTTCAGCTATAGCCATGGTGACAGCTCTACCTAACGGAGCATTAAACATGGATCGCGGAGAGCCAGGGATGTTATCGCGGCCGGGATTCCCCCGTACACAGTACAACATGCAGTATACGAGTGGGGGACCGAGGGTCAATGCAGGGGATTTACCTCAGCCTCCACCAAGTAAGTGTGATGTGTGACCCTCCTTTCCCCCCTCCCAGACCCTTAAATTGTTCCCAGAAATCAAACCCTACCCACACACATTTAAGTACAAACACTCAAGTAAGTGTTTGTAAACATCCTCTCTGTGCCTCCTCTGACCTCAAACAGTAACTAGAGAGCAAGCCAAACTTGCACACATTAAGTATAAAATATCCAAAGCCCTTTTCTGTGCCTCCCCTGACCTCACACAGTATCTAGAGAGCAAGCCAAATTCACATTAAATACAAATACCCTGTATAAGTGTGACATATAAACCCCCCCCCTTTTCCTTAACCTCAAGTTCCCTCAAAAAAAGTACCCAGAGAGCAGGCCCTACTTACACATATACATGTATATAAATGGGGATGCCCACCCCTCACAGACACATGCAGTTATACAGGTTGTGGTCCTCTCCTATCCCTTTCCTCCTCTCAATATGATCCTGAGAGCAAGCCGTACCCACAATCATTTAAATAAACGTATGATTTCCCACATCACACAGGTACTGTAAATGGTAAAACACAGACTCTAACCAGTGGTAGGCCCTGTCAAGCAAGCCTAATATGAAACAATCAGAACCCACCCAACACTTTCTCTCTATCAATCAAATTTTGAATAAAGCACCCATATTGATACCAGGTGTAGGAATTCAACAACAAACTGACACAGATTTGTCTGGCCTTAAATGATTGAAGCCTTGAACAAAGCTGAAATGAGATGAGCCTGATTTTTTCCTTTACACGAATTTTTTTTTTGTTTTTTAGAACTGCATGATTGACACGTTTTGTTTCCTTTTTCTTTGTAGTTCAAGCATTTCCTGTAGAGTATGCATGTAAGTGTGTCACTATTAACTTCAATACAGCTTCTGTTAAGGCGGAACAGACCTTCTGCCAAGGGAGATGATCAAAATGATCAATCACTATGCTTACTTTCAAAACATATTCATCTTCAACAACATTTTCAATACATGTATTGAATTTGCTTGAAAAAATTTTATATCTCAAGATTTTGTCAAGGAAATGGCAAAATAACAGGAAAAAAAATGTTCCCCTTTAACAGATTAAAGTATACTATAATTACTCATGCTTATTGGTCTGTAAATTATAAAGATTCTTTTTGCTATGAAGTCGTAGCCTTTTAAAAAAAATTTCTCAACAAGTTTGCAAATAATTTAGCTTTTAGAGCTATTGAATGTAATACACTTATTCTGACAATTTTTTTTTCTATGTTTTATGCGTGTGTTGTAAGAATTTTTGACTTCTTTTTTTTTCCCATTGACAAGGGCAAGAACCAACCAATTTGTATTTGACTGAATTAAACTAAAGCTAAAATAAATTTTAGTTTGTTAAAATGATAGACCATTTCTCTTAGAGGGATGAAAGGTGGTAAAAACATGACTAATGTAGGTATTATTAAAAAATCTCAAGTCATTCAGCCTTAAAACCCACAGGGGCAAATAAGAAAACTAATTTGAAAGTCTTCTTATGTATTTAATTGCCTTCTCCATTGGACCGTGATGGAGATGTGCTAGGGATTTAGAAGTTTTAAACACGGAAATACAAGAACGATGTTTAAAAAAAAAATCTTATCATCAAGAACACACTCTTTGAACCTTTAAAAAGCTTATAAAAATTTTGTGGATATTCAGGTTTCAATACTTAAACATTCATCAAAGTGTAAAGGGAAAAAATGCTTTCTGAAGAGATTTTCTAGAGGAAAATCACAGAAATTTTTTAAATGAAGCATCTTAGTAACAATAAATAAGATCCAAATTAAATAAAGCTTAATTCATTAATTATAATACGTAGATAAATTGTCTCTAATGTATATTATATCTTAAGATCATATTTTCTGAATTCAAGGCATAAAATACAATGTAGATTCATTAAAATTTAATGGTTAAGTGATTTACTATGTATACTCTCTGTTACACTACTTTTTTATTGTTTTGTGTAAATCTGTACGTTATCCATTTCCTTTGTTTTTAGGTCACCTGAGTCACTCAGGTGACCTATTGCTATCTGTTTTTGTCTGTCGTCGTTCGTCGTACGTCGTTCGTCGTCAATCAGTCGTAAACTTTTGAACATTTTTAGCTTCTTCTCTGGAACCACTGAACCAATTTCAACCAATTTTGGCATATAGCATCTATGGGTGAAGGGGAGTAAAAATTGTGAAATTCATGGCCCCTGCCCCCCTGGGGCCTGAGGGGTGGGGCTAAAACCATCAAAATTAATGCAATCTTTAAAAATCTTCTTCTTTACTCCTGGACATCAAGCAGTCAAACTGTTGGCATGATTGTAATAAGCATTGAGCCCTCTACCAAAATTGTGAAATTCATGGCCCCAGGGTCAGGGGTTCTGGTGCTAGGGCGGGGCTCTAATGATTATATAGTGAAAATGCATTAATTCTTTAAAAATCTTCTCCTTTGCTCCTGGGTATTAAGCCGATGAATTAAGTACATAGTTATGATGAGCAAGAGTGCCTCTTCCAAAATTGTGAATTTCATGGCCCCTGGGTCAGGGGTTCTGGTGTTAGGGCGGGGCTCTAATGAATATATAGTGAAAATGCATTAATTCTTTGAAAATCTTCTCCTCTGCTCCTGGGTATTAAGCTGATGAATTAAGTACATAGTTATGAAGAGCAAGAGTGCCTCTTCCAAAATTGTGAATTTCATGGCCCCTGGGTCAGGGGTTCTGGTGTTAGGGTGGGGCTCTAATGAATATATAGTGAAAATGCATTAATTCTTTAAAAATCTTCTCCTCTGCTCCTGGGCATTAAGCTGATGAATTAAGTATATAGTTATGATGAGCAAGAGTGCCTCTTCCAAAATTGTGAATTTCATGACCCCAGGGTCAGGGGTTCTGGTGTTAGGGTGGGGCTCTAATGATTATATACATGTAGTGAAAATGCATTAATTCTTTGAAAATCTTCTCCTCTGCTCCTGGGTATTAAGCCGATGAATTAAGTACATAGTTATGAAGAGCAAGAGTACCTCTTCCAAAATTGTGAATTTCATGGCCCCTGGGTCAGGGGTTCTGGTGTTAGGGCGGGGCACTAATGAATATATAGTGAAAATGCATTAATTCTTTAAAAATCTTCTCCTCTGCTCCTGGGTATTAAGCTGATGAATTAAGTACATAGTTATGATGAGCAAGAGTGCCTCTTCCGAAATTGTGAATTTCATGGCCCCTCTTGGTGAGGGGTTCCATGTGTTGGGGGGGGGGGGGGGAGGGCTTTTTTTCTATATACTTAAAATAAATTAATGCTTTGAAAATCTTCTCTGCTCCTGGGTTTTGAGCTGATGAACTAAGTACATAGTTATGATGAGCAAGAGTGCCTCTTCCAAAATTGTGAATTTCATGGCCCCTTGGTCAGGGGTTCCATGTAGGGGGGGGGGGGACTTATTTATTATATACTGAAAATAAATTAATGCTTTGAAAATCTTCTCCTCTGCCCCTTGGTATTAATTAAACAAACTAAATACATAGTTATGATGAGAAAGGATGCTTCTTCCAAAATTTTGAATTTCATGGCCCCTGGGTCGGGGGTTCTTGAGCTTGGGTGGGGTTCTACTGATAAATAATAGCAAAATGCATTAATGCTTTGAAAAACTTCTCCTCTGCCCCTGAGTACTAAGCAAACAAGCTAAATGCAATAATATCAATGTAAATACATGTATTAAATTTAATTATAAGTAAATGTGCCTTTTCTTTGCTTGTGGGTATCTAGGAGGCAGAGTACACAATTGTGATGTGAAGCAAATGAGAGTTACTCCCCTTTGCTAAATATTGTTAATCAAGAAATCCTTGTATATAATTTAATTAACAGGTTATTTGATTGAATGAGAATACAAGAAAGAATGTTATATATATATAGAAACAAAATAAAAATGAATGTTTGGTTTAAATGAGCAAAGTATGTTCAAAGTCAGATTCTTGCCTGGAAAGCAGTATAAAAGATTGACATAAAGATTATTTATATATTTAGCAAAAGGTGTAATTGTATGCAGTATGTATACTCTGTGGTGATCTAAGTTAGTGTCACTTGTAGAGGAGTTGTGGTTGACAGGAGACTGGATGTTGTTTTATACTTTATCAAAGTGAACAAAGAATCACAGAGAGCCAGAGTGACTTATTGTAAATAGTGACAAGTGGCAAATAACCACATTGTATATACCCAAGTCTGTGTGTACTGAATTGTAGCACTAGGCAAGTGACAAAAAATATCTGTATATATTGAATACCTTACACAATAGGCAAGTGTTCTTTGTATTTGTATATTTTGCATTCATTATCATCCCTGTAAGACTTAAAAAATATGATGTGAGATTTGCCTTACTTATAGATAACATTTGTCGAGGTGAGCTTCGTAATCTTTGATTACCTATGTTTGAAATTCTTGGGCAATATTGCTTCGTCTATCAGTTAATTTTGTTTTATACTTCCATGGATCCTTTAGTGTTGTATTATACTCAGGTGACCGTTAAGGCCCTTGGGTCTCTTGTTTTTTTTTTGTTTTTTTTTTTTCTCTTATTTTTTTTCTTTACTATGGCTGGCAGTTTATATATCTTATTTTCATTTAGCCCCGTTTTTGTTATCATGATGACATCATGATTTTTTTTGCTTCGCAGACAAACGTCCCGCTTTTGATGATGACGATAGTTCCAGCTTACACAGTTGTCATGATGACCATTCCTTCTCCAGTAGATCCATTGGCTATGGCATGTATCCCTCTGTCTGTCTGTCTGTCTGTAATGTATCCCCATTGACTGTCTTTATATCTGTAATGTATCCCTGTTATCTGTCTTTATATCTGTAATGTATTCCCTATGTCTGTCTGTCTGTGAATTTATGTAAACATTAACATTTTTTCAGTAGTTAATAAAACATGATAGTTTAATTCCATTAGAATGAATTAAAACAGAGAAATAACAATTTTGTCATTGAATTTTTTTCCCCTCTTTTATCAAATAGAGTTCTTTGTATCAGGATATTTTAATATAACAATATTTACTTTAACATACTTGGCATAGAAATTGCTTTAGCTCTTTGTAACCTATGAATTATGTATTTTTGACTTGTAACATTTTAATAATCACTGCCTTACTCAATATATCAGGACATTAAGCTTAACATATAAACACATTATACCTCTTCATGACCTTTAGGTGACCCCATCATCTCATCTGATCATCCGCAGCTCTCAGCAACCTCTACCTTTTAAATGCTTTTTCTCATTTACATATTATTTATCTTATCAATATCATTTTAAGCTTTAACTGTTGTGCATTTTATTTTTATTGATGGTATTGAATATCCTTGCTTTTTTGATATGTAGTTTTGCTATTTTTAGTTTTGACCTTTTGACCCCTCCCTCCCTTTTCAGGCCAGAAGCCCCCTGACTGTCATTCCCTGGGTCAAGGTCAGCCTATGGCTGTCATAGCACCCGGACAACATGAGTTTGACGGTTACCGAAGTCTTCCCAGAGGAAATCGACCAATGAGAAGCTTTACGTCCCCGAATCCCCATAATTACCCCAAACCATTGTCCGGGGTTCATCACCATAGCACCCCTAAACATCAGATAGGTAAGACAGAAACCCCCCATTGCCATGTCAACGGTTAAAATGTCAAGGTAAAAGGTCAAAGTATATTACTTTCAAACAGACAAGCTGGAATACTCTATTAAGCATAAAGGATGTCAAGCATAGAGTACTGAAATATTTAACAGAAAGGTGAAAAAACCCTAACTTTTACAGAGGTACAAGCTTGAATAAAAGTCAAGATCCAAAATATACTTTTTCCAAGTTAATGAACACAAAATCAGTAACAGTGTTAATGAGGGGGGTCAGGTGTCTAGGAGAAGTAAGCATTCCCTGTCAACCAGTCACACCTAGAGTGAACCCTCTATTGATCAGATTAACAGAGTAATCCATAATAAAAATTCCTGTGAAAACAATGGCCTAACAATTGGTACTAAACATGATATCGATGGTCTAATTTCAACCCAACTAAGGCTACCTTTCTAAAAATTTAATTTTTATTTATTAGGGTCCATCTTTCAGATTAGACCTTAAAAACTGAGGTCCTGTGTCATGACCATCTTCGCTAAACAAAAGGTTTCCAATCCAAAATTGGATTCCTGAACACAAACCTGTGGCTAGCGAAGATGTGTCATGACAGGGTTTGACATCCAGTGAACCCTCACTGCTCAGTGACCCCAAGTGCCTAGTAAAGGTTTAAATTTGAAGCCCTTCACCACATTCAGTGGTCTCATATGAGTGAAATAGTCTTGTTTCAGATGTAAAAACAATAAATAAATTATTATAACAACCTTAGGATTTGCGAAGTACAGATTATTTCTGATTAAATGTCTCCGGAGAATTCTTATTTGTCCCATGTCTCCATTTTTGCATGATATAACTAGACTATATTGAATTTAGCTAGCCTTCACTTATGAGCTAAACATTGCTTCAGATATAACTATACACATCTAATCTTAAATTGATTTTAACCTCTCACTATAACAATTCTGATAGGTTCAAGTATAAATTTTGTTTCAATATGGCTGCAATTTTTCTAATATCAAAATTCCTTTTATATAGGATTTTTGCTAAAAAGTGTTTTTTCCTAATTTTTTAGCTCAATGTTGTGCTCAGAGGTGGATGGCAAAATTATCATTGCATGTAGTTATTGTATTTTCCATAGCTTTGCTGCATGTGAAAAAAAATGTACCTCTTAGTATTTTTGTTGACTTTTCAGAAATTTGTTGTTTTAAATATATTTAAGAAAGATCAAAAGATACCTAAATCCCAGTCTCAAGAAATTGACTGAAATTGCAAAAAACACCATGTATAAAAATGCGAAATAATTCACTGACTTGAAGCCAAAACTACAGAAGGTTGATGATGCAAAAATGACCCATTAAAATATGTATAAGGTATACATGTAAATAAATTTTCAGGTGCATACATTGCTTAAACTGCAGAGCAGGGTTGGCCGGGAAATACCAGTGGTGGGAATTACCAGTGGTAAATACCAGTATTTCCCGTCCCGGGAAATACTACAAATTTTCTCTAAACTGGGAAATATTGGGAAATACTGGGAAATACAAAGTTATTAAAGTTTTTTTATTTCTCTAATTCATTCAATCTTATACAAAATTTAAAAATAAAATAAACATAAAAGCAGAAGATGAATAATATGGTATATGTATCAAATTGCAATTTAAATATTCAGAATGTATCATTACTCGGGGTCCCATCACCATAAGCATTCTGAAACATTTCCCCCAGGCTTTATAAAACTGAAGTTTTCCAATTTAAGTTTCTTTTCAGTTTTGTAAAATTATTAAGTTTAATAATTATAAATCCAAGAACAAAAAACAACTTGTTTTTATCCTTCTATAAACACTGTAGTTATTACAAACAATCATGTTGTTTTAACAAATTGCTCTGGACAGTTTTGTGCTCCTGTTTTGAGAGATAATTACCTTGAGTAGAACTGAAAGGCTTCTTCTTAGATTTGCTATTTATATACCATACTCAACAGTTAAGAATTTTCTTAGATCCTTCTTTAGTTATATAAAAACCCAATTGGGATCTTTGGGTTCATTTCATGGACCTTTATAGACTACATCTGACTTAAGCATGAAACAAATGACACTCAAGTCTGGTATATGAATATACTGTGTTATGATTATATAAAATGAATTACTTGGAAACCATTTTTTTTAAATCAGGGACAGTGATACCAGGTGGATATCTTAGCCAATAAAGTGTACTACATGTTAATATGAAAGAAATATGTAGCTATTTCTTATTTCCCAGTATTTCCCGGGAAATACCAGTAATTCCCGGTAATTACCAGTATTTCCCACCGTCCTGGGAAATATGAGTATTTCCCAGTTTTTTGCCAACCCTGCTGCAGAGTCTTGAAACGGAAAATAAAATTTCTTAGTTGTAAATTCTAGGTTTTAAAACAATATTTTTGAGAAACAATCCTATGTGATTTTATTACATCTGATTCAGTAATGTGTTTAAATTTTAGAAATTATGGTTAAGGAAAGGCCATCATGCACCATAATAGAAATGAATTGCACATAATGCTTGTTGTTTTAATAAAACTTTTAACATGTATAAAATTTACTTGTATGCAAATCAAAGATTATCTACTTAAACCAATAATTAAAGTGATTGTACTTTGGGGTATTTAGATGTTTGGGGTATAATGCTTTTGTCTGATTTTCTTTAGATAAGTATACTGTCTCAAAGCTTGAGAATGAAACAGAATTTTTCTTTATTTTTTGTTCACAACTTTCATTTTTGTGAAATAGAAACAGAAAATTTCAAATAGAAAAAATTATATGAATCACTGGTATCAAACAGGGTTACCCATTTTATGTGTGACTTATTGTATGTCATAGGTTATGTTACCTTCCCTCCACCCCTTTTTTTTTACACAAAGTGCACTCATTGGAATGACACAATTTGTACTGTGTACCTGACCTTTGCTTTCTTTTCCTGTTTCAGTAAAACCACAACAATCTCCCTATAAGAAGGCAGGGCCACCATTATCAGCTGTTCCTGTCAAACCTCGTGCCATACCTGTCATTAAACCAAAGGCTCCAGACGTTGTACTGAAGGCGGGGACTGACCCAGACATTCAGGTAAAATAATGAGGGGTAAAATAGATAGATAATCAGGTAAAACACATAAGGTTAAGAGGGAATACAAAGATATACAGGTAAATAAAGTAAAATACAGAAAGTTTCTGATGTTTGTCACAGACGTAACAAAACAATGTATTGGCAAGATTAAAAATTGTAACGCAAACTCTGTCTTTGCTACATTTGAATTCTACAGTTCATTCAGTTGGTATAACAATATTTTCCTCAGTCTGAGAAAAAACTACATTTAAACCTACATAAACAGAAATCAGCATTTTTTTGGGAAAAAAAAGGAAAGTCCAAAGCGACATAGAGGTTTCTTGATGTTCTGATGAGATTTTCATTATAAAAATGATTTATATTTAAGGAATACTAATGAATAGCTTGTTTTGTTTTTGTTTCCTTCAGAAATCAGAGAGTACAGAAGAATTATCTGCTGAAATGGCAAACTTGGATTGTTTAATGAAAGACTTAAATGCCATTACTCAGCAGAACTTTGAAGTGTAGCATTGTTATAAGGTTAATTGTAGTCTAGTGTTATAAACCAGAAAATACTGAAGTCCCAGAGGACAAAACATTCGGAGCAAAATCCACACAATTCTGGGGAAGTTTTCTCTAGATTTCTTGGATGAGTGTCATCCTTATACAACGTTATGCTCCAGTTTGGAGAAAGTGATGTAAAAAGATTCTTTGTACATCTTTTTTGAACAAGTTTTGATGCTTCACTTGGAGCAATTCAACGACATCAAAATGGAATGGAAAAAGTCAGTTAATTCAGCAATCAAATTGTATTGAAAAGGAACTTAATCAAGCATTTTTGCTTGATGAGAAAAAGTTAATTTTGAAACTAAGGAGTTTTTAGCTCACCTCGACGAAGTCGAGATGAGCTTATGCTATACCCCCGGCGTCGGCGTCGGTGTCGGCGTTAGCGTCGGCGTCCCAGGTTAAAGTTTTAGGAGCAAGTCCCATTCCCATGTAACTATAAGCCCTACCTGGACCAAACTTGCATGGATGATGCATCTAGGGATGGACACTACCACACTAGCTTCGGATGCTGGATCTGACCTAGATTTTCCGGATGAGTGACCAGGTTAAAGTTTTAGGAGCAGGTCCATTCCCAAGTAACTATAAGCCCTACCTGGACCAAACTTGCATTGATGATGCATCTAGGGATGGACACTACCACACTTGCTTCGGATGCTGGATCTGACCTAGATTTTCCGGATGAGTGACCAGGTTAAAGTTTTAGGAGCAAGTCCCATTCCCAAGTAACTATAAGCCCTACCTTGACCAAACTTGCATGGATGATGCATCTAGGGATGGACACTACCACACTTGCTTCGGATGCTGGATCTGACCTAGATTTTCCAGATGAGTGACCAGGTTAAAGTTTTAGGAGCAGGTCCATTCCCAAGTAACTATAAGCCCTACCTGGACCAAACTTGCATGGATGATGCATCTAGGGATGGACACTACCACACTTGCTTCGGATGCTGGATCTGACCTAGATTTTCCAGATGAGTGACCAGGTTAAAGTTTTAGGAGCAGGTCCATTCCCAAGTAACTATAAGCCCTACCTGGACCAAACTTGCATGGATGATGCATCTAGGGATGGACACTACCACACTTACTTCAGATGCTGGATCTGATGTAGATTTTCCAGATGTGTACCAGGTTAAAGTTTTAGGAGCAGGTCCATTCCCAAGTAACTATAAGCCCTACCTGGACCAAACTTGCATGGATGATGCATCTAGGGATGGACACTACCACACTTGCTTCGGATGCTGGATCTGACCTAGATTTTCCGGATGAGTGACCAGGTTAAAGTTTTAGGAGCAGGTCCATTCCAAAGTAACTCTAAGCCCTACCTTGACCAAACTTGCATGGATGATGCATCCAGGGATGGACACTACCACACTTGCTTCGGATGCTGGATCTGACCTAGATTTTCCACATGTGAGACCAGGTTTAGATTTAGGAGTAGTCTCGTTCCCAAGTAACTATAAGCCCTACCTGGTCCAAACTTTCATGGATGATGCATCTAGGGATGTACACTAACCAATCTGCTTCGAATGCTGGATCTGACCTAGATTTTCCACATGAGTGAATTTTAGCCATATTTTAACCAAATTAGCATGGATGATGTATCTAGGGATGGATACTTCCAGACTTGCCTTGGATTCTGAATCTGACGTACATTTTCCAGATGAGTGACCAGGGTAATTTTTTGGAGTAGCTATATAATATTATGGCCTGTTATGATAAAACTTGCATAGATGGTGCATCTAAGGATGAAAACTTCCAGACTTGCTTTGGATGTTGGAACTGACCAAAATTTTCTTGATTACTAAACAGGTCAAAAGTTTTTTGAGCAGATCTATAATTAAATCAAACTTGCATGGATATTGATCTTGGGATGTACCCTAACTAGAAAAAAAATATGATGTGAAATTTGCCTTACATGTAGATAACATTCGTCGAGGTGAGCTTCGTAATCTTTGATTACCTATGTTTTGTTATTGACATGGAATTGAAGCAGTGTGTGATTGAAATGAAAAATCCAACTCTGTGGAATATGGAGTATTATTTCATAAAGGAAAAAAAAACTGAAAAGGAATGTGAAATCTCTGTTAATTAAAACACTCATTAATTAATCAACAAACACAGTAGTAAATTTGTAGAAGTATATATAAATGTTCTCCTTCGCAACAGATGCCATATTTAACCTGTTAAACTAGTTATTTGACTTGTACAACAAAGAATGTTGCAATCATGTCACTGAACCAACAGACTCGGCCTCATTCTTACGCGTAGCCTCACTTTAGTATGGATGAGTCCATGTATGAGGGGTGTACAGGTCATTTTATGTTTTTGGTGCCTGAATTATAAAAAGAGATCATCATTGTTTCATATATGTACATTTGTGATAATGTAAAATTTTATTCATGGAGAAACAGTCATTTTGAGCCAAAAACCCACCTTCATTTAAACTATCCTGATATTATCAAGAAAAATGTGTTTTTGAATTCTTAAAACCACTTTTCCATGTGTCAAACCTTAGCCATATATTGTTGCAATGTGTATATATCTCTCATTTAATTTGCATAGAGTAGACCAAATTTTTTGTATTTTTGCAAAACTTTTTTTTTTGGCAAAACATGGATCTTTATCATGCTTAAAGCTGTTTGTAAGTACAAAAAAGATTAAGGAGAATCAAATCAAATCTATCATTTTAAGGTCACTAATACCTGGATTATAGTGTAACATGAATCCCCTGTGTATTGTGACTGTTAGTGGTGCTATATTTAGTAACATCATCAAAATTTTGACATAAAATACTATGTCAATTCATAGTTACCTGTATTTATGTACATCTTTATAGTGAGGTCCTTTGTTCACAAATTTTAAATGTGTACATTACAAAACAGGAGTTAAGTCTTACTGAACTTTATAATTTTATAGATCTGTACTGCTGATGTTATTTTATCATTTGTACATGTCCGTATTATTTTGCCACAAACATGTAACATATGTACTTAATTATTTTCAAGGTAATACATTTGTTGTTTTATTGGTCATTGATAAATTAGTAGTTTCATTACATAAACTGGCAAAGACAGGATTCTCCTTTCTTATTTTGACACAATGGAATTTTTATTTGTAATTAATTTAATGTTGTACTGCACCATTGTAAACTTTTTTGCACATAAATTGAAGTTGATGGTTTATTTTTGCTCTGAATTTCTTCAATATAAATGAAGTATATAACTTCTATTTTATTCATACGATTGAAAATAATTATGTTCTTAGTGTCACAAAATATAAAACCAAGATTTTAAGACATTTTCTTTACTGAAGTCAAAGAAAAGTTCCCTGCTTTTTATTGTTGATTTCATTTCTCTTTTATATGAACTACTGTTTCTACATTATTAAGTTAAATATTTAACTTTGATACATTTTAGATAATTTTTTTTATATCATCTGCTTTATTTCAAAGGTTGTGTACTCGTTATTTATAGAACTGCATTGTGTTTTACATATTTTTTTTTGTTTTCAATATGTAGCGGTATTTTATATTTAGTACTTTACTCATGTGAACCCTGATGTGATGATGTCACAAGTGATGAGTATTGCTTTCGGTTGTGTTTGTGTTTTGTAGACATTTTGACCTTGAACAAAACATCTTTTTCAATAAATTGTCATAATTACTCTGTGTTCAATTGACTTGAGATATATACCATATTGACAGAGAGAAAGCACGTTTCTAAGGTTGACAAGCCATATTTATGTGGAAGCATCCTCAGGTGTTGTAGATTCAAATTTGTTCAAATCATGACCTCTAGGTCTAGGGTGAGGCCACAGTAAAAGTTCACAATTTTACAAAAAAGATTTTGCTGCTGAAAAACAGCAGGGCAATAGTGACTCATGTGAGCATTGTGGTCCACCGGCCTTTTGTTTATTACGTCATTCATGCATTCTCTGTACATGCTGTAAGCACTAAAACCAAGAAACGAAATGTCTCTTATTTTGATGAAATTTGCACCCTGTGATACATTTCCTCAATTTTCTTGTTTCATTTGGATAAAAAGGGCTAGAAATTGTCAAATTCAATGGATTCGTCTCCATTGCAACTGAGTGAAAATGTGTAATTTCTTACACCATATTTCCAAGTTCTGTACCAAGACGCATCTGTAGTGCAAATTTCATCAAAAGAGAAGAATGTCATTTCCCAGCCCTAAAGTAAATGTGTAGTTGCTTACAGAGAATGCATGGTAATGTTGAAAGAATCACAATATTTTCTACGATGTAAAATTATTTTCTTTAAAATAAAGTTTTATTTTTAGGTCACCTGAGTCACTCAGGTGACCTATTGCTTTCTGTTTTCATCCGTTGTCGTGCTTCATGCGTAAACTTTTCACATCGATATCTGCGACTTCTCAAGAACAACTGGGACAATTTCAGCCAAACTTGCCACAAAGTATCCTTGGGTAAAGGTGATTTAAGTTTGTTAAAATGAAGGGCCACGCCTTCTTCCAAGGGGAGAGAATTAAGAATTTGTGAAAAATTAATGGCATCTTTAAAAAATCTTCTCAAGAACCACTGGACCAGGTAAGATGAAAGTTATATTGAAACATCCTCGGGTAATGTAGACTCAAGTTCGTTAAAATCATAACCCCCAGGGGTAGGGTGGGGCCACAATGGAGGATCAAAGTTTTACATAGGAAAAATCTCCAAAACAACTGGGCCAAGAAAAATGAAACTTATGTTGAAACATCCTTAGGCATTATAGAATCAATTTTGTTCAAATCATGACCCCAGGGGGAGGGTGGGGCCACAATGGGTGATCAAAGTTTTACACGGGAATACACTGGAAAACTCTCCAGGATTACTGGACCAAGGATGAAACATATGTGGAAACATCTTCTGGTAGAGTAGATTCAAATTTGTTCAAGTCATGATCCCTGGGGGTAGGGTCAGGTCACAATGGGGGATCAAAGTTTTACATAGGAAAAATCTTCTCCAGAACAACTGGGCCAAGAAAAATGAAACCTATGTTGAAACATCCTTAGGTAGTGTAGATTCAAGTTTGTTCAAATCATGACCCCAGGGGTAGGACGGGGCCACAATGGATGATCAAAGTTTTACACGGGAATACATTGGAAAAATCTTTACCAGAACCACTGGGCCAAGAATGATGAAACTTATGTGGAACATCTTCAGGTAGTGTAGATTCAAATTTATTAAACCATGATCCCTGGGGGTAAGGTGGGGCCACAATGGACAATGAAAGTTTTACATTGGAATACATAGGAAAAATCTTGGAAAAAATTCTTTTCCAAAGAACAACAAAGCCATGATTGGTTATATTTACATGAAAGCATCCTCAAATAGTATAGATTCAAATTTGTTCAAATCATGACTCGGGGAATAGAGTGGGGCCACAATGGATGATCAAAGATTTACACATGAATACATAGGAAAAATCTTTGACAATCTTCTCAAGAATAGAAAAGCCATGATTTGTCTTATTTACATGGAAGCATCCTTGGGTAATGTTAATTCAAATTTGTTCAAATCATGACCCCCTGGGGTAGGGAGGGGACACAAAAGGTGATCAAAGGTTTTTTTTTAAATTAGGAATATATAGAAAAGATCATTTAGAAATATTCATCCCAAGAACAACAAAGCCATGGTTAGTCATTTTAATACATAAGCATCTTCAGGTACTTGTATTGAAGATTCAAGATTGTTCAAATCATGACTCCCGGGGGTAGAAAATAAAACTTACTGGAAAAAATCTAAATGAGAGACAGATTAGAACTTTATTTATGAGTTGTTACTGAATATTAGACTAATTATTTCGATGATCCTTATCACCCTTTAGAGCTATTTCTCTTGCTTTGGGGCAACAAAACTTCAATCGGTTTATTTTATACTCCATGGATCCTCTATGGATTGTTGTTTTATACTCAGGTGACCGTTAATGCCCTTGGGCCTCTTGTTTAAAAAGTAAACGATGAAAATAAAAGATTTTACGGACAACTGTAATTGGGACAGATATGAAACATCCTGTGTGTCACAGCAAAACTCAAAAATTCTCAAAAAATATTCAAAAGCACTTTATTCTTCACATAATTAATGCCGAAATTATACAAATAAGTAAATCAGAAAAAATATGGGTTATTATTTTGAGACATAACTTGAATTACAATACATGTTCTAATAAAAACTAACAACACCGAAATATTGAACATCATTTGTAGCACTTGTTATATAAAGGTCAGATGACACGTTCCTCAAAAATATATAATTTTCCCCTAAAATGTAATATTGAAGTTCTCCTTCTTTAAGAAACTTCCTCACAAAAAATGGGATTTGTTCAAGATTCAGGAGGATGGTATTTCCTATATAATTTTACATGAAATTACTTGAATTGCTCATATCACAATTTTTGGTTCATATTTTTCCCCATACATTTTAAAAACTGTTAAAAAATCAGAAGACAATTATAGTAGTAAAAGTTTTTAGAATATTCCGAAGAGATGCAAAATCAGATATTTGAGGAACGTGTCGTCATATCTTAAACAATTAATGCATATGATCCAGAACTTCAAATTCAATTTTTATATGTTTCTTCACAACAAAAATGACCACGAGGTTTTGACTGAATTAAATGAAATGTAGATAATATGCATGTTTTACCTATATATAAATTACCTCCAATTGAAACATACTACTACCTGACTTTATCATAGTCATCCAATCTAATTTAACATTGTTTGTGGGGGGTGACCATTCAGAAATTAATTACCTGTATGTAATATCAAATGGAATATCTTCTGACATGTTTCTTTATTTCTTTCAAAATCATTCGATACTTGCGTTTCATCATTCTCTTATCCTTAAAAGAGAAATATCTTTGAGGGTTTTTGAGTTCCAGTATCATTTGCCTGGTTCTTTTTAAAGCGGATATACCCTCTTTGTCCACCACACAGTTATATTCTCTGTATTTCACCCTCAAATTAGCATCTGCCCCAGCCTCCAGTAAAACAGATACCATTTTCTCAGGGCATTTGGTATTACAAAACAAGCTGCCATCAATGAGTCTAAAAAGTAAGGGTTTGACGTCCGCCTCATTTGATCCTTTGCGAATAAGAATATCTTGGTTAGAATCCAGACCGATGAACAGCAAATGCCTCAACACGTCACAATCTGCTCGACGTAATTTTATGTACACATTATCTTTTAGATCCCAGACTTTGTTCTTTTTAAACACCACATCATCCTTACTATTTGTAGCCACAACTGCATGCTGAATGTCTACAAGGATGTTGAACAAATGCAAATTTACTCTGTTTTGCTGTTGTTTATTTTCGGGCTGTTTTAACAATTTTATTACATTTACCTTGTTTTCAATCAATGCCATGTACAAGGCGATAGTCCATTTGTTGTACAAATTGTACAATCAGCGCCTCTTTTAATAAGCATTTTTAAAACGGAGATGGATGTTTTATTGCTATCTACTGTTTTATACAGTGGTGTCTCCCCTTCTTGATTCTGTAAATTGACGTAAGCACCAGCTTCAAGAACCTCCTTCACTGTATTTGCATTACCCCCTCTGCATGCAGCTATCAAAGGTGTATCCCATAAAGTGCTTTGATTGATTTTAGCTCCCATATTTAGAAGTTGTCTTACGATGTCAGTGTATTCACCAGAGCATGCAGCCGTCAATGGAGTGCTATATTTACCTTGTAAATGGACATCAGCCCCCGCCTCAATCAGCTCCTTGAAAATAACCTTATTTCCACCCTCACACGATACTATCAGTGGCATATCATCTTCACGATGTAAATTGACATTGACTTCTGCCTGTAGGAGCTCTTTCACTACATTCAAATGTCCACCCTTACATGCAGCTGTCAGTGGAGTGCTATATCTACCCTTTAGATTGACATCAGCCCCTCTTTGGAGCAATTCTCTAACCACATCTATATATCCATCGGCGCATGCAGCTACCAAGTATATGTTGGTAAACTTTTCCCGAGCACCATGAGATTTGGTGCCGAGCGAAGCGAGGGACCAAATCGAATGGCGAGGGAAAAGTTTAACAACATACTTAGTACATGTTTCACACAGAAATTAAACCCTTTGTGTTTCTATCTATTTCATGACAAATTTTTGTGTGTTTCTTGTTATTTAATCAAGATAATGATGATTTGATCCTGACTGTTGCCATTTTGTACAGGTCCAGATGTGATAATTATACCCTCAGGGGGTATATCTACCTGTCTGCAACAGGTCAGATGACGGTCTATAGTGAGTAGTTTTCAAACACAATAAGGGTTCATTTCTATAGATTCAAAATCTCTGTATGAAGATATTCATGTCATTTTTAATGGAGTCTTGTGGGCATTAGTAAAGATTTGTTTTTAGAGGTAAAATGGATAAATTATTCTTGAAAAGCACATATCTCCACAGAAAACGAAAACAGAAAAAAGGAAAAAAATCTGTATACGGTTGGATTGTCTCGGCTTCCAACAATTACAGGGAAAGTTACACACTATTTGAGCAATATAGGACTGGCCTTGTGTATTTGAACATTGTAAAAATAAATCCAATTTTAACTTCTTGCTGTGTCCTCTTAATCTGTTAATTATAATCGAAGACAAGATGGTGAGTAAACTTTTTTTTGCACTATTTGATGAGATATAATTCTGGGTATTATATATATATTCAAACAATTACTAAACCTTTCTTAAAATTCTGTTTTGATTTTGATTTTTTTTTTTAAATTTAATTATTTAATGTTTTAATTTTGACTAAAGTTGGTTAATTCAGAAAGAAAGACAAGGGGAAAAAAGACCGTTTTTTCCTTTACTAATTATGTAGGTTTTATTGACTATTTAGCACATCAGGTCCAACATTCATTGTTAAGTGACCTTGCCCTGTGTCCATGATTGTAACCTATCATTGATAATGATAAGTTTAATAATTATGCACACAATGGCATAGTCATCCAACCATGAAGCTTGGGCTTGGAGTGTACCAAGTGATTTGGTAGCAGCAAAAACCATTTGTTCGAGGTGTGAAACATGTACTAATGGTGTATTACACACACTCTGTGGATTAACATCTGCTTTTGCATTTAAAAGCTCTTTGACAAGTTCTAAGTATCCACTCTTACAAGCAACTGTCAATGGTGTTTTGTATTTATCCGGTGTCCATGTATTCCAGGGATTGAAATTGACATTAGTTCCGAACTTTAGCAGTAACTTAACAACATCAAGTCGCCTACATTTACAAGCAATAGTTAATGGCGTCTTCCATACGAATATTGGATTGACATCAGCCCCCTTTTGGAGCACTTCTTTCACCACAATCAAATTCCCACCAAGACATGCAGCTGTCAATGGTGTTATGTGCTTCTCCTCTGGTCCTTTCTCAATGAGACTCAAAATTGTGTCTGGATTGTGAAGACTGCAATGAAAGGGTACATTTAATATCAGTTGCAGTGAGCGTTTTACATCATCAAACCATACATGCTGTGGATTAACAAAAGCCCCCATTTCAAGAAGCTCTCTCACAAGGCTCAAATCTCCAACTAAACATGCAGCTGCTAGGGGTGTAAACCATTCTTCATCGTGTTGATTTACAACAGCACCCGCTTCAAGAAGATCTTTTATTAGAGCTTTATCTTGATTTCGAATAATAGAGGCTAGTAATGGTGTACTTCCTTCATTATCTTGGTGATTGACATCAGCTTTTGCTTTCAGCAGTTCTTTAATCAATATCAAATTTGCATTACGATTTCTACAGGCATTTATAAGTGGTGTATTGTTGACACCTTGTACCCGGTAGATTGACATCAGCCCCAGCTTTTAGAAGTTCTTTAACCACTTGGAGATGACCACCACTGCATGCAGCATTCAATGGTGTATCATTAAGACTCTTGGGTTTACCTTTGCTCCTGCCTGTAGCAGCTCCTTCGCTACAATTGTATGTCCACTGCCACACGCAGCTGTTAAAGCAGTGTTATCTCTACACTGTAAATCAATGTTAGCCCCAGCCTTAAGTACCGTAGGAGCTTCACTATACCCAATTTACCACTTCTACATGCCGAAATCATAGGGGTCTCAAAATTTGTTTTTCGGTTGACAATGGCCCCTGATTCCAGCAATCTTTTTGCTACATTTAGATGTCCTTCATTACATGAAGCCGTTAATGGTGTATTATGTGCAGACTCTAGATTTACTGAAGCTCCAACATTTAACAGCTCATTGACAATATCTAAATGGCCACCTTTGCATGCTTCTGTAAGTGGTGTTTCATATTGACCCTCCAAATAACATCTGCACCTTTTTTGCGAAGTTCTTTCACGACACTCAAATGTCCACCATTGCATGCTGCTGTCAGTGGTGTATGATCATGACTCTGCATGTTGATATCAGCACCTACCCCGATCAACTCTTTTTCAACAGACACGTGGCCAAATAAACATGCTGCTATTAGTGGTGTATTTCGTCGACATAAATCTCCCCCAGAAAATCTCACCTTATGAGAGTAGATATGTGGCGTTCTATTAATTGTAAAGTTTAAATCGATATGTTCCAGTAAAATTCTAACAGTCTCAACATCACCCCCATAAGAAGAGAGAACAAGTAGCCGAGTTTCTTCTATGGCAGATTTTTTTAATGCTTTGCTTTTGATCCATTAATATAAAGCTATCATTGAGAGAGTCTGAAACATGTATATCATCAAAATCACCTAATACATAAGTCATGTAGCTAGCAGTGGTTCCCTGTTCTGGTGTTAGATCTCTGAGATGAGAATTAAAATCCCTGAATAATGCAGACGATGTTTCTTTGTGTAGTTCAGTTCGATCTACGATGTACCTAAGGATTTGGTGATGTCCATAGTAAATCACCCAACTGATCACTCGCACATTGCATGTAAATGGCTCTATAATTATCTGTCTTTTATCCAGCAGTAGCCCCTCTATATATAAAAAGTTTTTGATCCCAATATTCGCTATCTTATCATTTTTACTTTCCTCAGAAGAAGTGACGTCCCATCTGAGCACATTAGATACGTTGTCTTGTTTATTTAAAAAGAGTGATTTTAATTCTGCGTATGCTTTTGTCTCTAGTACACCAATAAATGCTTTACACAACTGATTGTCCTTTAAAGCATCATTCATAAACACATCATACAGTTCCATATTCTCTATATCTCTGTACAATCTCTGAGCTAACATTGGATACTGGTTTTCATAAACCCTTAAACATAGATCTATACCTTTCCTGAGTTCGGAGTTTTCATCATAGTTTGCACCAGTTGACCCCAAACACTCTTTTCTTTCGTCAGTGCATGTATCAATGGGACTTTTGTCCTTTGTTTCAATATTCTTCTCTTTTTGTGTTTCACATGTCTGAAGTTTGACGTAATTTGCAACATGGCTACTCTTCACATATTTTAAAACCAGCTCTGGAAACTGTCTACCAAAATGATATGCAGTTATTTCAAACATGGAATCATGAACAAAGGTGAATTCTTTACCACGACGTTTTGTGTATGTCCCCTCCATTGCTGACAATGCTTTCACAAACTTAAATGTATCTGTGTTACTTTCAACTTCGCAGCTCTCTAACACCTCTTGTTTCATTTCCTGAAAACATTTATTTTGCTTATCCTTCAGAGTGTCCTCGGACATAATGCTGTTGTTTAACGTGCATAACACCAATGTTGCATAAAAAAGACTGTTCGCTTGTTGCATCTTGTCGAATTCTTCGATAATGCACTGGATAGGATTAATAAAGAATCGTTCACCATTGGATCTAAATTTCTTCTCATTTGAATATAATTTACACAATAGAGGAAACATTCGAGAAGCCTCTGTCAGCAATGCAGGAGACAACAAATCTCTGTCTAACCCATGCTTCTCAAGAATATTTCTTTGATCATCATCACTCAACGCATTTTCTGAGCTGTGAAGCTTAATGACATTTTGTTCTTTAGTGAAAAAGGATTTGTTGCACTGGTTAAAAAGCGTTCCTCTACATGTCACCAAAACCTTTGATTTCTTGAAGGACGTAATTTTTGGCCCATACTCTAAAAAAGATTCTAACTTTACTTTTTGCACACCTAATACACCTATTACGTCATTTATAACAAAAACCTGTGGATTATGAGGATCACAATACTGTCTAAGGTCTCTAAAATCCAACACAGGTACAACTTCGTATCCTTCCTTCTGCAGCTTCAGGGCAATATGTTGAACTGTGGCAGATTTCCCGGATCCTGGGACACCAACAAACGTCACATAAGGTTGTTGTCTTACTCTTTTAAGCATTTTAGAAAAAGCATGAGTTTCAATGAATACAGAATCTTCTTCCTTCCATCTTCTTATATATTCTTCTTCATGTTGGGCTTATAAAGTAATATTTAAATTCAAATAAATGAAGTGAAAACATATATTTGTTTCTGTATTCTAAATGATTTTAAAAAGTCTCTCCAAATCTCAGTAAAATTGATATTCAGTCTAATTAACAATAAATTATGATAATTTTCTTTATAAGCCAGGGGACAATTTTACAAAACAACTTACGACAAAGAAAAAAAGTTTTAGTTGCAATTGATTGTAAAATTTTGCAAAGTTAATAATTCTGTTTGAATTTGCTAGCAAATGAGTATCTTTCCAAATTCTGTTTTGGAAGATTAAAATCATTTTCAAATTAATGTTTAATAAAACGTAATCAGCAGAATAAAATACATGTATTGGTCTTTGTCGTAAATAATTTTGTAAAAAGGCCCCTTATCTTTCGGAATAGTTATGTCATACTAAGTAAAACTTTGATAGCGATGAAGAAGAAACCGAATGGAAGAGAGCACAATCCTCCATGCCAATCTAATTTAACACAATAATGAGCTCTTTTGCATGACACAGAGAGCGTTTTTTCACGATCGTTACATTTATGTGCCGCTCATAAGATAATAATTATCAGTTTTTAATCGGCGGCTCTGTAGCAACCGCAAATGATAAAACGCCGCTTAATGATAGAAATATCAACGCAATGCAACGCTTAATGTCATAAATCATTGCATTAATAGTTGACATGCTCATCCGCTTAATGATATAATTCTTTCATTTAGCGTCAATTTAGCATTAGCGGTTGAGAATGTAAACTATTAATGCAATGATTTATGGATTAAGCGTTGCATTGCAAATCTTAATGATATTTCTATCATTAAGGGGCGTTTATCATTACCGGTTGCTACACGGCTTCTTTTTTTATTTTTATCTAAGCATATAAAGAATTTTTCCTAATAAATAAACGGTGCAAGTTATTCACCAACCTATACAAAAGGGGTGCATAATTAAAATATAATGTGATGTCAAGGTTAGAGTTTTATAAACAGTGGCTGGTGAAGAAATTAAATACGAAAACAAGATATAGCACCTTAAACTGTAAATTTTATTGGCTGATGAAGAAATTAAATACCAAAACAAGATATAGCACCTTCGTTTGTATATTTTCGTGGCTGATGAAGAAATTAAATACCAAAACAAGAACAATAGCACCTTAAATTGTAAATTTTAGTCATTTTTTTTACGTATGTACATACCTTTGACATTTTGAGGGATTACACACTGAAGTGTCTTAACGTCATCTGGAATAAAAATAGAAAAAAGTGGCAATAACGATAGTCATCTTTCAAACAAGACAAAAGATCACCTCGTTTTGAATGGCAGACAGACCTATAGGACCGATATTGGTTTTAGTCTTTACAAATTTTTTATTGATTTCCGTTCCGGTTAATAATTTTAGGCTAAATATATGTAGTGATTCTCCTCTCATAAATAGAGTTCTTTTCTTCCAGTCCACACATGTCGTAGATGTTGAGATACAAGGAACCTTTTCATAGAATTTAACTTTGTAACTTTGTATTGATAAAGCATTTTGCGTTTGTCACTCGTATAACATTTTTGATATTTTCCTCTACTTTTCATTGTCAAGGTAATAGCTAAAGTAATTATTTACTTCTTGTTTTGCGTGCATAGTAGAGTCAATGCATTTTTCGCAGATATAACAGAAACATGTCATTGATATATTCAAATTATATACGAGATGAGGTTCCAGGGAATTTAGTTATTGATATGCAGTTCGTACGAAAAATTAAAGGAAAATAAAGTTTCTATTAGAGATATATTTGATGAGTTCTTTCCGATCCCATGTCTTCTATTTCCAAATGTTGCGCCAAAAGTTGTAAAGTGTGTTTTGATTACAAACTATTATTTTTATAGGAATCTTACTGGACCAAAATTGGGAAAATTTGAACTGCAGATCTTCTAGTGCTGTCTACGGAATAAAATGTAACCTTTGTGGGCTTATTTATATTGCTGAAAATAAGGATTACCTCAATAAAAGAATACTAAGGCATGAATTTCAAATCAACATCGAGGACTAGAAATTTCTCTACTAGCACTTTAATTTACTTTATTATTCTATTTTTTCAATGAAATTTAGAATTCTAGAAAAGATTAACCATCATACTAATAGCCCATCATTGAGTACAACTTTTCGTAGACACCCAGAAGAATACTGGAGTAGATAACTAGGCACGGCCTTTCCACATGGAAGCAATGATATGCTGATAGTGTTGGGAATATTTTAAATCGGAGCTGATCAAAGAATTAAAAAGACTACTTTCTATTTTTCAGGTTCATGATAATAATATTTACCTGAATTGATTTCAATAGCTTTTTGCAATCTAAGTATGTCGATGTAACATCTTTTTAACTCTGGGTCCATGTAGCAGGTTTTGATTTCGTTAACTGCGTCCTGGTAAGTGGTGGATGACCCTAAGTAACTCTCTAACTCTACGATTATGTCATGGATATTTCGCCATTCTTGTCTAAAATCCGACTCCGCCAGGAAAAAATCCGATGTATGTCCATAGTATTTGTTTCTGATCAGACGAATCCTTTCAATGTTAGCAGACACACTTCTGTCTCCGGAGTTGGGTTGTTTTCCCCATCCCGCCGTATGTTCTGTAATGTTGCACACGTTCCGTAAAAGGAGATATAGAATCGTCACGTCAAAGTCTGAGTAATCTCCACCATATTGTTTTGTAGGGGGCGGGAAAATGAGATATGTCTGTTGTTTTGAAAGGGGATTTTTTGCATTTTTGTCCCTTTTGTGATCAACCCAGATCTTAACCGCTCTTGATAAATTGAAGGGAGATAATTCCTTTCTTAGAATGTCCCGCAGCACATCTGTACATGGACCAAGGATAAGTCTGGCCACTCGTGCCAGGTTTGTCGTTTCTGTTGTGGAGGTGTATTTTGACAGAGACATTGTAAACCTTTCCAATTGCACCTGGATACAAAAAGAGAATATATTTCGTAAAACTTATAAATTATTTTAATAAAGACATCCTTTCAATTTCCAATGTTCTCCATCTGCACCTGGTTAGAGCAAAAAAATGTACCAATAAAGAGTCAAAGAAAATTTTTGAGCTTATAATTGAAGGAAATCACGGACGCTTTTAATTGCTTTTCTAGGCAGTACATTCTTCAAAATCATATGTCAGTTTTACCATTTTTTATATTACCAACAATCAAAATGAATTTTTTACCATGCATATACTGGATTACTAAACCTCATTCTTTACACCTCACTGAAATATTAACAGCAGTGAAAAAAAACTACAGGAATACTAAACAACAGTATATTTGAAAAGTGGTGTAAATTAAATATAAATGTAAATAAAAATTCTCTGCCTAAATTTATGAAACAAGGCAAGCTGTTGATGAACAAGTTGATGAATAAGGATATCAATAATGTTGCTTAAAGTCATCATTTTGCAAGTCCTATGTTCAATACATTGATCTTACCAGCAAGTACAATCTATTGTTAAGTCGAATTCTGACTGAATTTTTCTTGTCAGTTGTTAGACCAATTGTTGAAATATAAAGATAATGAATAGTAATCAGGCTCGAACTCAATCAAAACAATACAAATCAGGAGCAGGGCAAACCAAAACAATACAAATCAGGAGCAGGGCAAACCAAAACAATACAAATTAGGAGCAGGGCAAACCAAAACAATACAAATCAGGAGCAGAGCAAATACAAAACTTTAAGAACATCAGAGGTGAGATCATGTTTCGAACAAGAAAAAATAATCACATTGGGCGTACAGATTTCAATACTTCAAGATTTGTATTATTATATATTTTTACTCAATTTAGTAACTGTAAATATCGCATATATAATCTTACTTTTGCGCATTTGGCAGTTCAGTGTTTGTCGTAACCGAACAAATTGTCTTTTTTTGCACGGGTTAAATATTGAGGATGTAAAAGAAATTTACCTACAGGCTGTTTCATAATATACGTAACATTTAGGAAGCATTGTTTTTCTGACATCTGAACATCTGAATATAACTCTTGATAATTTGGGCCTACTGAAACTAGGCCCAACATATCAAGAGTTTTTTTCCATTGGCAGCCATATTGGAGGTCAACATGCTCATATTCCTTCATTATTCAACCAACTTCAACGCTTTAGCTCTCCTGAGCCGAAGGCTCAAGTGAACTTTTCTGATTAAAATTTGTCAATTGTCTGTCGTTGTCGTCGTTGTAGTTGTTGTCGTTGTCGTCGTTGTCGTTGTAAACTTTTCACATTTCCATTTTCTTCTCCAGAACTACTGGGCTAATTTCAACCAAACTTGGCACAGAGTATCCTTGGGTAAAGGGGATTCAATTTTATTTTCAAATGAAGGGCCACGCCCTCTTCCAAGAGGAGATAACTACGAAATAGCGAAAAATTAATGGCATCATTGAAAAATCTTCTTCTCAAGAACCAATGGGCCAGGAAAGATGAATCTCATGAGGAATCATTGTCAGGTCGTGTAGATTTAAGTTTGTTCAAATCATGACCCCTGGGGGTAGGGTGGGGCCACAGTGGACAATCAAAGTTTAACACGGGAATATTTGGGAAAATCTTTAAAAATCTTCTTCTCAAGAACTGCAAAGCTCTTATTGGTCATATTTATATGGAAGCATCCCCAGGTTGTGTAGATTCAAGTTTGTTCAAATCATAACCCACGGGGGTAGGATGGGGCCACAATGGACGATAAAATTAAACACAGGAGTATATAGGAAAAATCTTTAAAAATTCTTCTTCCAAAGAACACCAAAGCCATGATTGGTCATATTTCTATAGAAGCATCTGCAGGAGGTGAAGATTCCAGTTTTAACACATCATGACCCCTGAGGGTAGGGTGGTGCCACAATGGATGATCAAAGTTTAACACAGGAGTATATAGGAAAAAGCTTTTCAATACTAAACTGATTTTTGCTTTTATCCTAGCCACAATACTCAGGTGAGCGATGTGGCCCATGGGCCTCTTGTTATACTGGCCACTGTAGAGTAGGAAGCATTGTTTTTCTGAAAAATATACATTTGTTAAACCATCCTTCATTTCATAATTTTTATTCCATAAAAATGTTCCCCCAAAATATTTCTGTTACACCCTCTTAAATTCGGTAGGACAAAGAGGTTGTCCACCAACATGGCGGCCAAGAAAAATTACTCGGAGAGAAAATATGTCGTATGAAAACTATCTACATGTTGCCATTATTCATTCAGAAGTTGATTCAGAAGCTGATGAAGGAATATTTCCAAAAAATGAAAGCTTTCTACGATGCCTATCAGAAGGCTAGTAACAAGGTTAAAAGACAGGGGTGGGCAATATGCCATAAATGACACAGTACTCCGGAAAGCTTACGGATTTCAGAACTCTTAGATAGTTTAGCAAACTGTGTTTTATTTTTACAAAACAGCTAACTTATTAAAGCTGAAATTTCATCTCAATCTGGGTTTTCTAGTCCAAAGAGTGGTAGACAGGGGTAAAATATTTGGGATTGGGCTGAGATCTAGAAATTCTTTTTTGACAAAAACAAATTTCAGTTATCTCCTTGATATTCAAACCCATAAAATTTTATTACAAAAGATATACAAAATATTCCAGTAATTTAAAAAAAAAAAAAGAATGCCACTGTAAGAGCAATTGAGATCTGCGTACGGTTTCAAAATCAATGAACGGTAAATATATATGCACCTAAACGTTTGACTGAATGTCTAAAACTAATCAATAGTGTTCTAAACCACATTGAGTTTTAAGAATATTGATCAGAATTATAAACCTTATATTGCAGAATATATAAAAGAAATTTAAATGTGTGTTTGCTGAATATTTTTGTCAGAAAAAAATCATTTATATTAAAAAGATAAGATAATTTTTTGGTTAATACATGTTCTATATATCAAATGTTAATAAATACTTCTTGTGTACAGTCAGTGGTATAAAATATATTTCTTTCATAAAAAAACAAAGCATTGCAAATACACAATCTTGATGGAAATTTGGATAAATAACAAAAAAGAAATCATTTATTTTTAAAGATAAAATAATTTTTTGGTTAATACATGTTCTATATATCAAATGTTAATGTATACCTCTTGTGTACAGTCAGTGGTATAAAATATATTTCTTTCATAAAAAAACAAAGCATTGCAAATCCACAACCTTGATGGAAATTTTTATAAATACCAGAAACACATTATGAACTCAGAGTCATAAGACAGGTTTCATAAAGCAATATTACTTATATTGAAGGTACACAATAAAACCATAATCAATAAAAATACTTGCCTATAAGATTAAGAGAATCTTAATTCTGTTTTATTCGATCGGTACAATTTGGCATTCTTCGTTTCCAAAATCATTTTGACCTTATAAATATTCGTTTAGTGAAGACTGTTGCAGGCGTCAGATATCATTTATTTGTAATTATGAAATAACATATCACGTTTTTGAATTTTCGCCATTTTTAAATGTCAAAAAAAAAATGTCTAGAAAAAAGTTGTGCATGATTGACTTTTCAAATGAAAGAGTAATACATATACTTCTGAATGGCTTACACCTGTTTTTTGACAGAATTTTATTGATTCCTTTTTTTACTGATCTATTCTTGTACCCATGGATATAACACTTTCTTTTGAGTGTTTGATTTTTCCAGTTGCTGTGTAAGCGTTCCTATATACACACATACAACAAAACATCAATTTTATCTATGACAAGTCATATAAGGTTTTGTCCAGTGAAGAATATAATCATTATTTTACATGATCTTTAACACGTTTTTTTCATACTACAATTTATAACAAGAGCAGAGTCAAAATATTTTGATCGTTAGTATTGATAGTAGATTTAAATTTCTAAAATGCATAAGGTTTGAAAGGGTCTGGTTAAAAATTCATTTGTCGGGTTCATCAATGGGAATATCTTTCAGAGGAAAACATTAAAAATGTAGAATCTTGATTACAAATCTTAAGAGGTTTATTGTTATATAAAAGCGCACATGTTCTTCATAAGATTTAAGCATTTGGAAGGTGTATTAGTATTTATAAGAAAGTACGGAAGAGAAATGACGTGATAGAAGCAGGGGCCGCTTACTTCTCCATCGCGCCTGATTCCACCACTGATGTTTTAGATGTTCGTGTTTCTTTTTCTCCTGATTTGTATTGTTTAAATGATCATTTGAGCATGATTATTGTTCGTTATCTCCATATTTCATAATGTGTTTGATTGTCTTTTGTTAAGAAATGACCTAATCATGAAGTGAAAGTTACTACCTTGTGTATTCTCTAATTTTAAATGGTAGAAAAATAAATCATTGAGCATAATTGAAGTGGATTATCTTGTTGTAAAGGAAAGTTAGACAATTATTTTAATTAATATTATAAGAGAGCCTTGTTTTCAAGGAAACTTTGTTCCTAAATGTTCTTTGAAATGGATCGACGTGTGTATTATAGATATCAAATTTAAGGTATAATGATTAATAGCCTGTCTTTGATTTTGTTTCCCACAGAAATCAGAGAATACAAAAGAATTTTCTGCTGAAATGACAAACTTGGATTGTTTAATGAAAGACTTAAATGCCATCACTCAGCAGAACTTTGAAGTGTAGCATTGTTATTTGGTTAATTGTAGTCTAGTGTTATAAACCAGGAAATACTTCAGTCCCAGGGAACAAAAGATTCAGAGCAAAATCCACACAATCCTGGGGGAAGATTTCATGGATGAGTGTCACCATTATACAACGTTATGCTCTAGTTTGGAGAAAGTGATGTAAAAAGTTTCTTCGTACATCTTCTTTGAACAAGTTTTGATGCTTCACTTGGAGCAATTCAATGACATCAAAAGGGAGTGGAAAAAGTCACTTAATTCAGCAATCAAATTGTATTGAAAAGGAACTTAATCAAGCATTTTTGTTTAATGAGAAAAAGTTAATTTTGAAATTATGGAATTCTTTTGTTGACATGGAATTTGAGCAGCATGTGATTGTAATGGAAAATCCAACTCTGTGAAATATGGAGTGTTACTGCATAAAGGAAAAAAACTGAGAAAGGAATGTGAAATCTCTGTTAATTAACACACTCATTAATTAATCAACAAACACAGTAGTAAATTTGTAGAAGAATATATAAATGTTCTCCTTTGCTTACAGATGCCACGTTAAACATGTTAAACTAATAATTTGACTTGCACAACAAAGAATGTGGCAGTCATGTCACTGAACCAACAGACTCAGCCTCATTCTCGTGTAGCCTCACTTGAGTATGGATGAGTCCATGTGTGAGGGGTGTACGGGTCATTTTATGTTTTTGGTGTCTGCATTATAAGAGGAGGTCGTCATTGTTTCATATATGTACATTGTGATAATGTAAAATTTTATTTATGGAGAAACACTTTCATTTTTAGCCAAAAACCCACCTTCATTAAAACTATCCTGATATTATCAAGAAAAATGTGTTTTTGAATTCTTAAAACCACTTTTCCATGTGTCAAACCTTAGCCATATATAGTTGCAATGTGTATATATCTCTCATTTTGTTTGCATAAAGTAGACCAAAATTTTTGTATTTTTGCAGAACATTTTTTTTTCGTGAAACATGGATCTTTATCATGCTTAAAGCTGTTTGTAAGTACAAAAAAGATTAAGGAGAATCAAATCAAATCTATCATTGTGTAACATGAATCTCCTGTGTATTGTGACTGTTAGTGGTGCTATATTTAGTAACATCATCAAAATTTTGACATAGAATTCTATGTCGATTCATAGTTACCTGTATTTATGTACATGTATCTTTATAGCCAGGTCCTTTGTTCACAAATTTTAAATGTGTACATTACAAAGCAGGAGTAAAGTCTTACTGAACTTTATAATTTTATAGATCTGTACTGCTGATTTTATTTTATCATTTGTACATGTCTGTATTATTCTTTTTTAATTTAAAGTAGCGGCTCTTTTAAGAAATGACGTCAGATTTGTTGTGTTTGCACAATGATGGTACCGTCGAGCTTTGCTAGCTCAAATGAGGGGAAAACATTTGAAATTAGGCCTAGGCCTAAACAGAAACAAATTATTAAAAGTAAATAGAGGTGCCTAAAAGACTTTTCAACTCAACTTGGCGGTAGAAGGTGGGAATTATAATTTTGAAAAATTTGACTGTATGAAATTGGACGGAATACGAAAGTTGAAATGTTGGCGCATTTGAATTAAGAATTAAACATGTTGTATTTGTGTGAGGAGGGGGGGGGGAGGCTGCCACTGTTTAAAGAATATTCTTGTGCTGTAGATTTTCTGTATCATTTAAACGCCGACCCCCATCCCTCTCCCCACCCACCCCCACCCCCCACCCCACCCACACACACACACCCTCAAACACACACACATTCATACATCTTTTCGTGCAGAGTCGAAGTTTGGCAAGTGCCATGTTTATGCATTAAAGAATTTCTAAAAATTAGAGGAATATCCTACAATTTCCAGGGTTTTAGCAGTTGTTTTTTTTCCCTGTTTGTCAATTATTTTTGGCCCCTCCTCTTTATGAGCTCACCTGTGCCAAAGGCTCAAGTGTGGTTTTCTGGTCAAATTTTGTCTGTCGTCGTTGTCGTCGTAAATTTCTCACATTTTCATCTTCAATATTTTTGCTTCCTGGTTGAATTCATGCCTCACTCCGCCTGCCTGTAACTGCTATGTAGGTATCCAAATACTAGGACACTAGAGTAACACAGGTGGTCTTACATTGACAAGTGAACGTCTGACCCTTTTCAGCTCCTACTCTGAAATTGCAAGCCAATTTCAGGCAGTATATATGGATAAACGGGAGTCAAATAATAAATTTCATGGTCAAAGGCCCCGCGGGCCTGTTGATTGACCTGAAAAATTCAAAGATTCATCCATACGCAGCACGAATTTTTGAGATAGAAAATACATTCTTTACAAGGATGGGTGTTTCTTTTTAGGACTTTACTATTATCGAACAAATGCAATGTGGTTGAAAACTACATGTTGAGGACGATTAGATTTCTTATTTAGACTTGTCACGTGATGTGGCAGTCACGTGATTTTAGCAAATATACCTGAAGTATTGAGGTCATCTATAAATTCTAATATTGCAAGGGCATAACCAAGTTAAAAATCTAAGTTTAACATATAATTATTTTCGACACTCTTTGCAGTTTGTGAAATGTGCTGCGAACCTACATAGATACTACTATCTATGTACTAAAATTACATTTATTAGACCGTATGTTGAATATTTTGCTGGTCAAGTACATTAAATATAGATATAATTAATTAATTTACAAGATTTCAACAGGTTCGCAGCACTTTTCAACTATCTTCATACTTCTTGAGTTTATGTGTAAAAGCTTGTCATAATTCATTGAGGGTATGCCCTTGCAATATATCGATTTATCACGGCCCTTCTATTACCCTTCAATGAATCTGCATACAAATATACGACAGTATCGCTTGTCTAGGGAATGTACGGGAAGTATATGAATAAAATCATAAAATAGACATCGCATCCAAGTTAATGGCCTTTTATATATCTACAATTTATATTTTATTTAATTACAAAATACATTTTTCATTGTATGAATATAACTTGATGCGCCTCTCACTGCATACAAACTGCGTCAAATTTTACGATATGACGTCACATTGACAAGTGCATTGCGATCGATGAATTGTTTATATATTGCTGTGTGGGATTTAACCAACGACACTAATGCATGCACTAGTTAGTGTTGATGTAGTTTAAAGCTTTTCAACAGTTTAAAATAGCAAATCATTTCATTTTGTGGTAATTTGAAGAACTTATATTTTTGTGTGATGTCATAGTAAGCATTTCCCGTATAAATTAGGCCCCGCCTCCTTACTGCAGCCTTAACTGTGCTGCGTATTTCAAAAATCTGATCAACCTTCCCGTAACCTTTTAATAATCTTCAAAATTTTTAATCCAATTTAAAAGGATTCAGGCCCCATTATTTGTCATACAATCAGACTGTTTGCTTGGATATATATGATAGGAAACGAGCCAATTAAAATTTTGAATTTTATTCTTAAATATGTTTAGCAGGCAAATTGAATCCATGATCACGGTAAACATAAGATTATTACCAAATGAAACTTCAATCCCCGTTTGGAGGACGGGGGGAATAGTGCAAGGCTATTCTGATTATTTTTTAAATGTGTCATCTTTAAAATTCCTTTTCTTTTAAGCATCGAAAATAGAATTGCATGTTTCTTGTAAAGTGACGATGAGCATAACGATGTAGTGGTTTGGACGGTGGATATCGGTATGGATAGTTCAGAAGGTAGAGCACCTGAATAATGATGCAGGGATCCCCGGTGTAGCTACATTTTCCTTTTCTTTTACATAACTTGGTGCAGTGACCATGCCCTGGAAGTGATCGGCAGGTGACAGTCCTTTCAGGGAAGAGCCTGAATTGTGTCTTCGGGGGGGGGGGGGGGGGACAATTTTAGGGGGGAACGAGGAATGTAATAATTTGGGTCGTGGATATGGATCTGGGTAGTTCAGTCGATAAGTACCTGACAAGTGATGCAAGGGTCCCGGAATCGATTCCTGATCCAGCCATACATTATCTTCATTTCCGTTACAATGACATTAAGTGTCATTACTGGTGGGATTGCTAGGGAAACTTCCAGGGTCTCATTATACATATTCATCATATGTTTCCAGTTTCAGTAATGGAATACGGAGATAACGAACCGTAATTAAGGTCAAAAGTTCATTAAATAACGCAAATCAGGAGCAGACAAATACTGACCTCCAAAAACATCAGAGGTATGATCAGATACCATGGAGAAGTAAACATCCACTGTCGAGTGGTCACACCTGCCATGAGCTAGATGTAACTATTTCCTACCACAGCGCATATATTATTTTCTCTTGTCATAAAAACAATAATTATCATGCATTACCTCAGAACTACGTAAATCATTGAAATGTTTAAATCTGAGAATATTTTCCTTGATTACTTAAATTTTCCATGTTATCATTCACATTTTATTATAGGAACAGAAAATTCACAGAAATCGCTTTATTGTTCTAACAAATAATTCTAAAACAAAGTACATTCTCACAGAGAAGTCAGAACTACAGAACAATTATTATATTTGTACTGGCTCATAGAGGAAATGCTTCAGTAAGTGCTGTTGAGGATAGTTTTCATAAGGTACAGTATGACATATTGAATAAATGAAGATGCGTTATCTAATGACAAAAATGACTTCAAGTCTTTGAATAAGATAATATTTCGTTGATATTGACTTCGTAAGTTATGAAAAAACTTATTGTTCCTAACCACCAATTGCAAGTGTAATATAACTCAATCATATTCTGAAATCTTACCGGTAATTCTAATTATGAATAATGTTACCAGTGTTGATAATTCTGAAGATGACAAATTTATATCAGATAGAATACCTTCTGACACGGTTTTTAATCTCTTTTATTATCTTTTGGTAATTTGATACTGCGTATCTCTTAACCGCTGTTATCTGCTGAGAGTTTTGCTTACAAATCAATTGTCTTGTTCTTTCTAAAGCGGACACTCTAATTCTGCCTATGACAGATTTATTTTCTCTGTATTTCACTCTCACATTAACATCCACCTCAGCCTCCAGTAAAATTTTTATTATATCCTCTTGGCATGTAGATGCAAATATTTCATTATCTATGATTCTAAAGAGTAAAGGTTTCACGTTAACTTCATTCTGTGCGTTGCGAATTCGAATATTTTGATTTGAATCCAGACCCATGCACAACATATGCCTTAATACACCACATTTAGCTCGAAATTGTGAGAGCCAATCTTCTGACATATTCCAGACTTTTTTCTTTGTAATCACTACATCGTCCCTCTCATCAGTAATTACGTCTGCATGACGAATGTCTACAAGGATGTTAAACAAATGCAAATTTGCCTTTTTTCGCTGTTGATTATTTTCTGACTGCTGAAACAATTTTAAAACATTTCTTTTGTTTTGAATCAGTGCAATATACAGAGGAGATAAACCTGTCTTTCTATAAAGTGTACAATCAGCACCATAGGCAATAAGCGTTTTCAATATAGGAAGGGATATATCATTGCTACATACTGAAACATACAATGGTGTATACCCTTCCCGTTTGTGTAAATTGACATTAGCCCCTGCTTCTAGCAGTTCCTTAATGACATCTACATTCCTTTGTCTACAAGCAGATGCTAGAGGTGTTTCGCCTACTGTAATTTGATTCACTTCAGCTCCCACATTTAGAAGTTTTTTGACAATAACAGCATGCCCACAAAAGGAAGCAGCTTCCAGTGGAGTACTATATATACCTTGTAGATTCACATCAGCCCCCTTATTGAGCAATTCTCTCACAACCTTTTCATGTCCTCCGGCACATGCTGCTATCAAAGGTGTGATACATACATTCGTTGGATTAATGTCGGATTTCGCATCCAACAGCTCTGTGACAATTCTTAAATTTCCATTCTCACAAGCAACTGTCAGGGGTGTTTTGTATTTATTCGGTATCAAAGAACATGTTTGCCAAGGATTAAAATTGATATTAATTTCATACTTAATCAGTTCTTTCACAATATCTATTCGTCCATATCCACAGGCAGCAGTTAATGGTGTCTTGAAAACAAATTTCGGATTGACATCAGCCCCTTTCTCAAGCAGCTCTTTCACCACATCCAAATGGCCAACATCACATGCAGCTGTCAGTGGTGTTTTATGATTTCCATACGGTCCTTTCAAAAATATTTCTGAATTTTGATATGTGCAATAAAAAGATGAAATTAATTTTATCAATCGGACACGATGTTCAAACTTATACCCCTGAGGATTAATTTCAGCCCCCATTTCAAGAAGTTGTTTTACAAGGCTCAAATTTCCGGCCCGACATGCAGCTGCAAGTGGTGTATACCATTCATTATTGGGTTGATGAACATCAGCACCTGCCTCAGTTAGACCCTCTATTATACTTTTATTATTTTGTATCCCAATGGAGATCAAAAGTGCCGTATCCCCCTCATTATTTGGACGATTAACATCGACTTTTGCTTTGAGCAGTGTCTTTATCAAATTTGCATGACCCCTATAACATGCATTTATCAATGGTGTACCATTGCAATCTTGCTGATTGACATCAGCTCCAACTTTAAGCAGTTCATTGACCACATTGAAATGACCTTCACGACATGCTACATTCAATGGTGTATTATTTATACCCTTTGGATTAACTATTGCTCCTGCCTTCATCAGCTCTTTCACTACAGCCAAATGTCCTCTGTTACACGCAGCTGTCAAAGGCGTGCTATGAAAGCACTGTAAATTAATGTTAGCTCCAGCCCTAAGCAGTTTCCTTATCACACTTAATTCACCACTATAACATGCAGATATTAGGGGCGTTTTAAAATAGGTTTTTTGATTGACAGTAGCACCAGATTGCAGCAGTTCATTTACGATATTTATATGTCCAATTGTACATGCAGCTGTAAGTGGTGTATCTCTTGACGACTCTAGATGTACAGAGGCCCCGAAATTGAGCAGTTCTTTTACTACAAGCTGATGTCCACCTTTGCATGCTGCTGTCAGTGGTGTTTCATGATAACCCTCTAAATTAACTTTTGCACCTTTTTTACATAATTCTTTTACCACACTCAAATGTCCACCAATACATGCTGCTGTCAGAGGTGTATGAATAAGACCCTGTAGATTAACATCAGCTCCTACCTCCAGCAACTCTTTTACAACCAACAGATGGCCAAATAAACATGCTTCTGTCAATGGTGTGTCCTCTATGTAAGACTCCTCTCTTTCAGAGCAATGTTGTTGTGGCGTTCTGTTGATTGAGGAGTTTAATTCGACATATTTCAATACAATTTTAACAGTCTCCACATCTCCACCATAACAACTGAGCACAAGTATGCGGGTTTGTTCTACAGCAGCAGACTTTTCGCTGTTCTGCTTTTGATTCATGCATATAAATGTATCGTTAAGAGAGTCTAAAACACATATTTTGCATCTGTCGTTGTTGTTTTCGCATCTAGCGGGTGCTTCTTGTCCTTTTTTAAGATTAAAATCTTCAGTATCAGCAACAAAATCCACGAATAGTATCGATTTTGTTTCCTTGTGGCGTTCAGTTTGATCTACGATGTACTTCAGGATTTGGTGATGTCCATAGTAAATCACCCAGCTTATAACTCTTATATTGTATGTTGCTGTATAACAATACCTTTCTCGTTTATCCACCAGTAGGTTTTCTATACATTTTTCAATTATATTTTTCCTTTTTGTATCATTCGTAGAATCTTTTTTTGGAATATTGTTCCCTTCTCACCACGTTTGATACGCTTTCTTGTTTATATAGAAAGACAGATATTAATTCTCTATAGGTTTTTTCCTTCAATACATCAATAAATGCTTTACACAACTGATTGTCCTTTAAAGCATCATTCATAAACACATTATACAGTTCCATATTCTCTATATCTCTGTACAATCTTTCAGCTAACATTGGATACTGGTTTATAGAAACCCTTATACACAGATCTATACCTTCCTTGAGTTTAGGCTTTTCATCACTGCTTCCATCAGTTGTCTCTACACTATCATTTCTTTCGTCAATGCATGCATTAATCGGAAGTTTTGTTTCCGTAATTTTCTTATCTTTTTGTGTTCCACATGTCTGAAGTTTGACATAGTTTGCAATATAATTGCTTCTCATGTATTTTAAAATCAGCTTTGGAAACTGCATACCAAAATGATATGCAGTTATTTCAAAGATGGAATCGTGAATAAATGTGAATTCTCTACCAAGGCGTTTTGTGTATGTCCCCTCCATTGCTGACAATGCTTTCACAAACTTGAATATATCTGTGTTACTTTTAACTTCACAGCTTTCTAACACCTTGCGCTTCATTTCCTGAAAAACATTTATTTTTATCATCCTTAACACTGTCCTCAGACATTATGCTGTTATTCAACGTGCATAACACCAAAGTTGCATAAAACAAACTGTTTCTTTGTTGCATCTTGTCGAATTCTTCGACAATGCATTGGATGGGACTGATAAAAAAGCGTTCACCATTGACTCTGAATTTTTCCTCATTTGAGTATAATTTGCACAAAAGAGGAAACATTCGGGAGGATTCTGTCAGCAATGCAGGAGACAACAAATCTTTGTCTAAGCCATGCTTCCCGAGAATATTTCTTTTGTCATCCTCGATCAAAGCATTATCTGAGCTGTGAAGCATTACGACATTTTTCTCATTAGTGAAAAATGATTTGTGACATTGGTTAAAAAGCGTTTCTCTACATGTCACTACAACCTTTGATTTTTCGAAGGACGGTTGTGTAATTTTTTTTTCATAGTCTAAAAAGGATTCTAATTTTGCTTTTTGCACACCTAATACACCAACCACATCATCAATAACAAAAACCTGTGGATAACTAGGATGACAGTAGTCTTCTATCTTTCTTACGTCTTTGATGGGTACAATCTCGTATCCTTCCTGTTGTAATATTAAAGCAATGTGATGAGCTGTGGCAGATTTTCCAGATCCTGGGACACCAACAAACATCACAAAAGGTTGTTCTCTGACTCTCTGTAGCATTTTATGGAAACTATGAGTTTCAATAAATACAGAATCTTCTTCTTTCCATTTTCTTATATATTCTCTCTCATGTTGTTCTAAAAAATATATTGAAATTTGTATCAGGAACTGATGAAAAGATGAAAGGTATTTGCTTTAAGCATTTTAAAATGTTCTGTTCATTTATCAGTGTTATGCAAAAACAGCTTATTTTACAAAAATTCTTTCTGGTTGGACAATAATAATTTCTGAAGAAGCAAGCATCTATTGTAATAGTTACATCATATTTTGTTTTAAAGGGTGCCCTGGAACGGGTGAGGAGACTCCCTTCTTAATCACATGATTTACTTCATAATTCAATAGAAATCAATATGCAATTTACGTAATTCTTCATTCGACAAGAAGAAATAGAAATAAAATCTTAACAGTTAAGTGATTCTCTTTATAGGAACTTTACCAGTTGCTGGTTGTATAGAAGGTGGATAAGGTTTTAATTGAAATCATACGAATGATTGAATCTATTCCCAAATTATTGTGCAAACGACTCAAATGCCTTCGATCAAGGAGGTGTAATAAATTATCACCTGACTTCATAAGCACTTTCAATTGTAATGATCTATAAGAATTTAATAGTTACATACATACCTTTAACATGTTCAGGGATCACATGTTGAAGCTTTTTAACGTCATCTACATTTACATACAAATCATTTTATGAAACGAGATTGACTAATTTTATATTTATAAACTTCTTTGTCATAGGATGAAACAGTAGCTTTCAGTCAACTGAGCTGTCACTGAAAAAACTGGAACAGTGACTGCATGGCGGAGCTACATGTATGCCACTCAGTCTTTTTTGAACAATCTTTCAGTGTCATTTCACTTAACTGAATGGCAGAAGTTCATCCTTTGTGTGTTAAAAGAATACTAAGTACTAGTACTGGTTTAAACAAGAGACCAAGGGACATTGACGATTATTGGGGTATCATGAGTTTCTCAAGCTGTAATGTCCAATACTTTGAAATGCATGCAAAAATATAATTCCGTGTCGAAATGTTTTATTTTCCATTTGTATGTACAATTAGAAAAACAGTCAACTTGCAAATAGAGTTCTATTAGCAATTTTATAATTTTTTTAATGTCACATGAGCATGTAGATAACGCAAGGACACATAATTTTTCCTTTGAATTGAACGAAAATTGTTTTAGTTCAAGTGTCTAAACAAAAATATGGAATATGTTTTGCTAGATAAACATATTGTATTTTTAAGTATCTACAGGTAGTACTGGGACCTAAGCGCTGCGATCAGGGGATTTAAACAAAAATATTTTGGCAAAGATTTAAATTCTTTTAATCTTTTATCGGCACTCTGTTTGCTCACTACATAAGTATTAAGGTCGCCCGCGTGGCGCAGTGGTAAAGCGTTTGCACTAGAGTCGCGGAGTAAGGAGTTGATCCTTACGTCGTGGGTTCGAATCCCACTGTGGGACGTGGAGACGGGTCCTTCGGATGAGACCGTATAAACCGAGGTCCCGTGTCGCAGTAGGTGCTGGTACGCAAAAGATCCCTCACTGCTCAGTGGCCCTAAGTGGCAAACATAGGTCAAAATGTGTAGCTCTCCACCGGCAAGTAGTGGCGTCTCCATATGAGTGAAAAATTTTCGAGAGGGACGTTAAACAACAAAACAAACAAACAGCATCCCAGAATTCTTTAGCTTCCACAATTCCATACGATAATTGTGGACAATAAAGCCGACCAATATATTTCAACGAGGTCAATTTTTTTGTAAAATATTCATGTCCATAATAAAAATTTGCACTATTGAGACTTTATTAGATAGGTACTCCTAACATATTGCGATAGTCTTGAGGTCAAAGTTTAGAGTGAATAATGTATCTTGAAATACGAAGAGGCCAAACTGCCAAACATATAATCGCAGTACAATATTATGCAAAGCAGAATTTCAAGAATGGCGCAAATTTTCCTTGTAAATGTCGAACAAAAATTAGACTGTACTAAATACCATGTAAACATTTTTAACATTCATATACGTGTAAATAATATTTACCTGAAAGGGTTTCAACAGTCTTTTGTAATTCATCAATGACTAAAAGTTTGTCGATGTACTTTTTCTCTGAATCTTGATCCATTGGAGAAGTCTTAATCTCGCTAACTGCGTCCTGGTAAGTAGTGGATGTCCCGAGGTAACTCTCTAACTCTACGATTATGTCATGGATATTTCGCCATTCTTGTCTAAAATCCGATTCCGCGAGGGAAAAATCCGATGTGTGTCCATAGTATTTGTTTCTGATCAGACGAATCCTTTCAATGTTAGCAGACACACATCTATCTCCGGGGTTAGGTTGTTTTCCCCATCCCGCCGTATGCTCTGTAATGTTGCACACGTTCCGTAAAAGGAGATATAGAATCGTCACGTCAAAGTCTGAGTAATCTCCACCATATTGTTTTGTAGGGGGTGGGAAAATGATATCTGTCTGTTGTTTTGAAAGATGTTTTTTGCATTTTGATTCTTGGGGTGATCTACCCAGGTCCTAACCGTTCTTGAAAAATTGGAAGGAGGTATTTCCTTTCTGAGAATGTCGCGCAGCACATCTGCACAAGGACCAAGGATAAGTCTGGCCACTCGTGCCAAGTTTGTTGTCTCCGTTGTGGACGTGTACTTTGATAGAGACATTCTTTCAATTTCCAATTATCCTCATCTGCACCTTTCTAAAGCAAAAACTTGTACACAATTAAGAGTCAATGAAAAATTTTAAGCTTATAAATAAAGCACATCAAAGACCTCTGATGTTTTTAGAGGTCCGTGTTTGCTCTGCTGCTAAATTGTTTGTTTCAATGAACAATGAGCTTGAATACTGTTCATTATCTCCATAATGAACAGAATATCAACATGTTTTGTAAAACTGAAAGAAAGATTTCTTTTTAGCCTATAGTGTTCTTTAATAGTTAGAAACACATTACTGTTTTTTAACTTTTATTGTTCAATTTATGAAAGAAGTCTTCTCGTTAAAGCAAGGTACCACAATTGTTGGAACTTTTATATTTAATAAAATACAGATATTGCTTTCAATCTTTCTATTACCAAAAAAATCCGTCAACTTGTTCATATTCCTCTTCACCTTAAAACTCAAGTCCTGTCTGACTCGTCATCACTGCTTTTGAATTCTGTTAAAGATTTCCTAAGGCGAATGGCTATCATGAAAACAAACCTTGACGTTTTGTTATAATAAAATAAAAGTTAGAAACTTGCTTTAAGGTAGAACCTATGTCGGAAAAGTCTTTGTCACAAGATTTTCAAACTTTTCAAAATGATAAATTAGCACTCGCTTGTCAATCAGATAAAAATATATGGTATGTTTCCT